CTTAACACAAAGGGTCATAATTTTCGATACTTTTATCTGTTATAACTTGTGAAACAAGTCAGCGATTCTTTACAACTTGCTATATCTAAATGTTTCTCAAAAGCAGAAACCCGAGACGAATATGTAATTTGTAATTTCGCATACATTTAGATATGAATATTCGATTTTATTCTCATTTTTTCCATAGCAATATTTTCATTTATATTATATGAAGCATGAAAATGGGATACTTTCGGTGGACTATATCTGGTCCCTCACGCACATTTTTACATTTCCCCCTAATAATCTTAGCCTCAATACTCGTAGATATGTACATACAAAATCTAACTTTATTTTTCAAGTGAAATTTCAAAATTTTCAGGAAAATCTGGTTAGCAGTTTTTGAGTCTATAAATTACAAACAAACCAGCAAACGTACAAAAATGTTCCTCTTTTATAGATATAGATTCCAACATCTAACAAATCCAACAATTGCCTAGTCCAAAAAGTATGCTTTATTTTTATTGCAACGCATAATTTTAGTTGTCCGACCGAATAACTAGTACATATTAAAATTACTAACTTCGGCGAATATTATTTATATTAAATATTTTATTTGATAATATTCTTCTACCACAGTGACAACATTAAAGGGACAAAACCATGGAGATCGGCGATTCGCATCAAATTTTCATTTTAAGATCTTTGAATAAATAAAATGGTAAAATTGAATAAATAAAAATATATTCATATTCCATCAATTACAGCCGAATATTTGAATAGCCTATTATTCTTCATGATCCGCAAAGTATGCTTTAAAATAGTTAATAAGAACATATTCCTCATACACACAGCATTGCCAACTTGGAGTTCGGTTCAATCGCATTGCCATAAACAATTTACTTATTTTTAAGAAGTCTTCAAACTTAAAGGAATTTTGTTAAAACTTGACTTTTGGAGCCTGAAAAAAAACTAGTAAAATTTGATTGCAAAATTAAACGAAATTTAAAAATATAGCATTTTTTCCAAAAACGTTTAATACATATTGTACTAAAAGGTAGTATATCTTCGTGCAATTGGTTGAAATATGAAGAAGGCAGCGCGATATGTTTCTAGTTCCCTTAGGTGATCTCTATTGAAACACATTTTGAGTTGATTTATGCATGTACGGCAGCCTCTGCATTTGTTTAAGCAAAGTACAGGTCGTATTTACTGTAAGATTGTTATGAGATGCACAGTTCATTTGTTAGGCCCAAAGGCTAACCCTATTGAACTTGGTGATAGCACTGAGCGACAATTTGCTGCTCAAGCATTTTGCTTTATACTTCGCAAAAAGGAGGGACAATATTGTTCTTTAATATTGCTGCTTACCCAAGAAACGCCAACCCATATAAATTTCCATCATAGGACCATAAGCATAATTTAATACAGAGCTGCCGAGCATTGGATGTATTCGTCTCTTGAGGAAGCGAGATAGACCCAAAGTTACTTTTGAGGATCTTCATTGAATCACTATCTGAGTCGATTTATAAGACCTTCAGTCTGTCCATGTATTTTTGTGAAAAAGAAGGTCGGATTTAGTATCCGCTTGAAATGAATTCTTCCAACCAATATTTGTTTGGCCCAAAGACGAACCCTATTGAAATTGGTGAGAATCGGTTAAAATGTAAATGTGGATCCCACCACCAAACGGCTAATATTTGTCCAAATGACCTGAATTTTGGCACATCCCATTGAATTCATCCCAAAAATAGGTACTTCAAATTTGGTGAAAATCGGTGCACATATAGCTATAGCTCCCATATATATTAATTTCATCCGATTTGGGGTTTTAAGTCCCTCACATGCGTAATATGCACTCCACAACATTGATATTTGGCACCAGATATCAGATACAGCTCAAAAAAAGTGCCTTAATTTGGTCAAAATCAGTTCGGATTTGGATATAGCTCCCATATATATCTTTATCCGATATCAGGTTTATTGTGCACCAAATGGCTAATATAAGCCCAAATGAACTGAATATTGGCAACTCCGTCCAAATTCATAGTAGAAACAAGAACTTGTTTAGTGAAAATCGGATCAGATATAGCTATAGCGCCCACATATATGATATTTGTTAGAGGATATAAGATATAGCTCTATCGAGATCGGTTTAAATTTGTATATACCTTCGATATACCTCCGATTTTATGGTTATTGCTCGCTGGATAGATTTTTTCAATTCAGCCGAATTTTTCCATTTGGTAAAACTCGGTCCGGTATTTTTATTGCTACAATAATTTTTATACCCTACAACACTATGTGTTGGGGGTATTATAAGTTTGATTGGGCCAAAAATTATGTAACACCTCGAAATATTGATTTCCCACATAGGAAAGTATATATGGATCTTCCTATCTCGCCGAGTTGAGTCGATCTAGCTATGTATGTCCGTCCGTCCGTCTGTCCGTCTGTCCATGTTAATTTGTAATCACTCTACAGGTCGCAATTATGGCCCGATCTTCACGAAATTTAGAATGGAGGTGGGGCTAGGGTCAGAATAGAACCCTATTTCTTTTGGAGATGATCGCATAATATTTAGGGGCCGAAATGGACCAAAAACTGAAAAAATGTCGGATTTTGCAGTAGCTATACAGGTCGCAATTATAAACCAATCAACGAGGAACTTCACATATAGCTAGAGTTTAGGGCGGGGTAGAAGCCTACCAATTTGGGTGGTCATCGGATAATATTTAGCGGGTAAAATAGACCATATCTTTTGTGTTGAAAAATTCAAAATTTTTCATTAAACCGCGAATATTTTAAATCGCGGCGAAATCACAAAGCCATGACAAGGTTACTCCTGATCTTTACATTGGATGGATGATGATGAACATCCAACAAATCGGATATATAGCAAAATATGTGCGATATATATGTCTATCAAAGAAGATATGCTTGAAAGATCTCTTATATGTCGAGAACGGCTTAACTGATTTCGACAGTTCTCATTAATTCAGAATGGCCTCTTGGCAGGAAAGAAACAACGTCTAAAAAATCGCATAAAAATAACTCTCTAAAGATGAAAATATTTATTTTGTAACATTTTCTTATATTTTTTTCAGTTTTGTCACATTTTTGGCATATTTTCATTTTGAATTAAACATTTGGTAATATTTCTACAGCTAATAAAACTAAGTAGTTAGGATGTCAGGATATCATATACAGATCGCATTTATGGCCTGATCCTTACGAAATTTTGCATGGGGATAAGATGAGGGTCAGAATAGAAGCCTACTCTTTTTGGAGATGATCGATGATGGGAAATATTGGTTCCAGATCTAGGAAGACCAACATCTTCCAATAAATTGGAAATGAGGAAATTAGTTAAAGTTGCTTTTATTCGAAAATTAGAGAACGTAACCTGATGGTTTTCTTTTATTATTTGTCACAATATCTTGTGGAATTCTTCCGAGTATCTCGCCTATATAAACTGTATCGTTTATTATTATTATAGGACTGTAGCCTTTGCTTACTTGTTTTTAGATAATTTTTATCGAAGTCATATCATGCACTATAAAGCAATGTTATTTGGCACTAGAGGTACAAAAGCCTCCATCAAATTTGTTGAAAATCGATTAAGAGTTGGATATAGTACCCAAATTGTGATAACCCTGAAGAGGCGGTATTCATTCGAATAAGGTTCATAGTTGGTATGATCTACTTCACATAAATTCCCAATATAAACTTACGGGAACTCTACTAAATACGCATAGTGGTGTAGGGTATCATATGGTCGGCCCTGCCGGATTTTTGACCTTTCCTTACTTTTTTCTTAAATAAATCTAAAATGTCCCATATTGTTCTACCCCAAGATCGATAGCTCCAGACAAAAAACAAGTAAAAATAAGCAGCCAAATTCGGGCACTTCAGACTTTTAATACCATTACCACCATACCATTTGGAAAGAACTTGAACATTTTCAAAAAATCTAAAAAATACCGCTTACATGAAAAGCGTTATACGGGGGCAAATACGAAATTTGAAACAATTCCTCTTAATAATGCATCTAAAATCATCAAAATACCGAATATCTGGAGGGGCCTACTGGCAAAATGTTGGCCTTTTGTCATAATTCTTTTGGAAAAAAAAAGCGTGATTACAACAGACAGACAGGCTCTAGAATCTCTATGCTCTAGAATCTACTTAGAATTTTGCTCTGATCTAAAATATACATACTATGAAGGGTCTATCATGAGAATTTCAAGGAGTTACAAACGAAATTACAAAGTTAATATACCCTCCATAGAACGATAAGATAAGCTAAATGTTTTGAATACATCTACAAATTTACAATTTTGGTGGAGGTTCGGGAATGGAATTTGTGTAATATCTCTTGTACTCGGAAAGTTGGGCTTGTTTTCTTATCGTTCAAATGGTCCATCCGCTTAGTCCAATTTTGACATACTATTTCCAACATTTCAGACGGTATCTCACTAATAAATGCTTTAATGTTGTCTTCCTATGCGTCAATTAAAGCGGGTTCGTTTGTATAGATATGAATCTTAACATGGCCCAACAAAAATGGTGTAAAAGTGTTAAATCACACGATCTTTTAGGCGGCAAATTGACCAGTCTTAAACGTTAAATGTTCTTTGAACTAGCTTCTCAAAAATCCAATGTTACCGTCTTATTGAAACCACATGTCACGAAAGTTAAACTCTTTCATTGTGGGTTTAAAGACGAGTATATTTGAAAATATATAAAATTCTGCAAGATTGTTAATTTCGGATAGTAATAATTTGGTCCCTCCAAGATATGCAACTGTCTTGCCTTCTTTTTCTAGAGAATTATTACATTTTCCTTCAAGCCAAATACAATTTCATGCCAATTTTTAAGAAATTATTAATTAAAAATGTAAAAATGTGATAGTGTCTATCTGGCTTTCCCTTTCACTGCAAATTTCAGATCATTAAGCTCGTCTCGAAAGAGAAATCAAACACGTAAACATGTTTTGTTATTGTTTATTTGTTTATATTTTAAAATATATTTAAGTGCATTAATAATCCTAAACAGCTATTTTATACAAAACCTTACTCTACATGGCTTTCGCAGACTCCGTACGTGGTGTCAGCATAATATTAAAACCATTTTCCATTTTCAAAATAATATCAGCCTGCATGCGGAATTCTTCCTCCTTGAGATTACATTTGACCACAAAATTCCTCAAAATTGTTGAGAGTAAAACTTTCAATTTCAACATGGCAAATTTACGTCCGACACAACTACGTGGCCCAGCACTAAAGGGTATAAAGCTGTAATAATGACGTTTAGCTATACGTTCGGGCAAAAAGTTGTCGGGATCAAATTTTTCTGGATTAGGAAAAGATTTGGGATCACGATGCACGGCATATTGCATAATGACAATTGTAGTGCCTTTGGGTATAGAATATGGTCCGGATGGTAATTTGATGTCACATTCAGCACGACGAGCAATCAATGGTACTGGTGGATACAAACGCAAAGTTTCCATTATTACACGTTCCAGATATTTCATTTCCAGCGTATCGGCAAAGGTACAATCACGCATGAAGTCATCACCAAAAATGGCTCGCTGTTCGGCCAATACTTTCTCTTGCATATCCTGATAAATACCCAATATACACAGGACAAAACTGGAGGCAGCCGATGTGGTGTCATGGCCCTGTACAAAAAATTATTTTTAAAAATATTAAATAATTATAATTTTTTGAAATTAGTTTTTTACTATACCTCAAACATAATTGTATTGACCTCATCGATAATATCCTTTTCAGTCCATTCTATTTCGGGATTTTTAGACATTTCCATCATGGCATCTAACAGAGCTAGACGTTTTTTGGCACCTTAAGTAAGAGAGGATTGTGAATTAATAACTTAAAACGAGATGTGAGAGTAAAGTTAGCCTGTTTTTATTCTTATATGAGTTTTAGAAGTTTTGAATGTTTTTTACCCTCCACCATTGTATAGAGGGTATATTAAGTTTGCCATTCCGTTTGTATCACCTCGAAATATACATTTTAGTCCCCACTAAGAATACATATTTTTGATCAGAATTTAGCGATGTCACTCTAGCTTCCGAACAAAATGGAAAAAGTTGAAAAAATTTTACTTTTGATATTGAAAATGGGTCATGTAGCACCACGTTTTGGTATAGCCCCCATATAACACCACCTTCCGATATTCGGTACTTTGTTGATTTTAGCGATATTATTCACCGGAATTGTTTCAAATTTGGCTTTTGAATTCCATAACGGATTCTACAGCCTATGACAGAAAATTGTCTGTGCAGGTCCACGTCTTCGTATAGCCCCCATATAATAGTACCTCCCTATATTGATGATTTTAGCTACATTATTCACCGATTTTATTCAGGTTTCGCATTTGAATATTGTAATGGTTTATGCCTAAAGTTGTCTATGCAGGTCCACGTCGTCGTATAGACCATAATATAACGGCTACATTCGGTATTTTTAAGATTTTAACAGAATTTTTAACGGATTTTATTTTTTTGAAAAGTAACAAATGGTGGAGGGTATTCAAAGTTCGGCCCGGCCGAACTTACAGCTATTTTTACTTGTTTTTTTTTTGTATTAATTTTCTATTTATTAGAATGTAAATGCCATAAGAAGAAACAAAGCCTTCGGTCTCCAAGTACTTATTTCAGCTTTCTCCTGTTACTCCAGGACTTTGACTTGGTGGATCACATATTGTTTCCTTTACTGGATAGAACCCGATTTGGGTAAATTACTTCAATATAGTATCACATTTTATTTGTCTCAAGTAAGGTAATTGTATAACACATATAATTAATTCAATTTATTCGAATAAATTGATAAACAAATGGAAGTAGTCAAAATTTCTACCCAAAAATGTTTCTATTTTATTTTTTGGTTATTCACAATATCCAGTTCCAATATTCTTGTTGTTGCCGTAGAACATTTGTTTAGATATGCTAATTAATTTCTACGAAGTCTCCGACTATGACGAAGAATATGTAAATAATCAAATGTCAAAATACACTAACAATAATTTATACTGCATAAATTAAAGAAGAAAGGAAAATAACAGAACCAGAACATTAAGAGACATAAACAAAAAGTGAAAAAAAACTCACAAAAATACGAAAACACGAAATTAAAAATTTAAATTATTTATGTCATTAACTTCAACAGATTTTATGTTTCAAAATAGCAAAGTTTATTACCGTTTTTTTATTTCCCCTACTGACCTATTTCACAAAACTTGGGAAATAAACATATTAATTTATTTAGGTTGTTACCTATAAATCCGCAACTTTTTATTGTATATCTCTATCCCATACTAGCAAGTGTTCTGCTATATTGTCAGCGAAAAGTCCACCCTAAAATTTTAGATTCGTCCCGACAGTTCGTGTAAGATCTTTTTAGTACTCAAAATGTTTTCATTTTGAAAAACTGTTTAATCAAAACTTTATTGTACTAAAATTTCAGACTTCCAGGGTTTCATAATGCTCCTTTTCTCGGAAAGAACAATAGGAAAATGTTTTCCTTTTACACCAAAAAGTGTTTGAAATCTATAATTCTGAAGTTAACCGAGAACGATATTAGTAAACCCATTCTAAGTCCAAAACTTTTTCTACGTCTCCGTATATAAAATCTAAAAATCAACAGTGATCTCAATATCTAATTTTGGATTTTAGAACTTCACCTAATACCAAATTCAGTAAAGTTTAGTACACATAGCTAAAACAATCTACATCTCTCAATCCTACACACCAACAGTGATTCAAAATGTGTACCATTTGTAACTTTTCGAACAATTATAGTACGCATTTGCAAAATCACTACCAGATATCAACAGAAACCTCAATATCAAATTTCGGGATTCCAGCTCTATATCTGCATTCAATTCTCAATTTAGTACTACTTTTCAAAGAATTATACTACACCTTTCCAATACCATATCCATATCTTAACCACGTCAACAAACATTGGCACCCATATCAAATTTCAGGATTTCAGGTCTATTACTTCACCCATACCAAATTTAGTTCTTTTCGTGCAATTATGGTACACAATTTCAAAACCACCTCCATAGCTCAATTCCAAATACCAACAGAGACCTCATTATCAAATTTAAGGACTCCAGACCTATCCCTTCACCCAATAGCACATTTAGTACCATTTAGTACTTTTCGCATAATTATTGTACACATCTCAAACACAGATACCAACCGTGACATTTATATCAAATTTCAGGATTTCAATTCTATTCCTTCATCCAATACCAAATTTTGTGTAATTTAGAACTTTTCGTATAGTTATTGTGCACATTTTCCATACCACCTCTATATCTTAACCACAGACACCAAAAGTGACACTTATGACAAATTTCAGGATTTCAGCTCTATTCCTTCATCCAATACCAAATTTAGTACTATTTGAACAATCATTGTACACTCTTATAAAACTACCTCCATATCGCAGATCCAGATACACACAGAGACCTCAATATCAAATTTTAAGATTCCAGTCCTTCACACAATAACAGATTTAGCACAATTTAGTATTTTCTATAAAATTTTAGTACACATTTCTAAAAACCACCTTCATATCTCAATTCCAGACATCAACAGAGACCTCAAGATCAAATTTCGGAGTTCTAGATCTATCCCTTTATCCAATACGAAATTTAGAACTTTTCGTACAATTATAGTAAACATTTCCAAATTCCATCCACAGATATCAACAGTGACACCTATATCAGATTTGAGGATTTCAGCTATATTCCTTCATCCAATACCAAATTTAGTACCACTTAGTACTTTTTGAACAATCATAGTACACATTTCCAAAACCAGCTCTATATCTCAATTCCAGATGCCAAGGGAGACCTCAATATCAGATTTCGGAATACCAGTCACATCACTTCACCCAATATCAAATTTAGTACAATTTCATACAAATATTGGATGCATTTTAGAAACCACCGCCAAATCTCCAAAAAAAGATAAGATCAGTAATCTGAATTTAAAATATCAGAAACCACCTCCATATGACCAGGCTGCACAAGAACAGCGACCCAATACCAAATTTCAGAATTTTTAGCACTACATGTTCACCCAACACCAAATTGTACCAAATAGAGTACTATTGAAGTAAACATTTTCAAACCAACTTTAATAGAAAACCAACCAATAAAAAATTTCAAAATCCCAGTTTCATCTATTCACCCTAAAATAAACTGCTCTAAATTTAGTACCATTTGGTAGAGTTCGCACACTAAGTACACATTTCCAAAACCAACTTTTTCCAACAAATTTTTTCCAACCTTTATTCTCATATCTCTCTATCCCTTCACATAGTACCAAATGGTAACATTTTAACAATTGTAATACAATTTTAGAATTTTTTGTAACCTTATGTACATATATATCACGTTGGTACATATATAGCCCTTTGGTATACCTTCAGTTGGCCAACAGAACTCAAGCGCCAGCCATGGTGATGGTGTGTGCCGCTATAACAGCCGATGGTCGCTCTCCGCTCGTATTAATAGACCGTGGCATCAGAATAAATGCCGAATATTATCGAGAAAATATTGTGGAAGGTGTGTTAAAGTCTTTTTTTGGCCGCAGACCTTGGACATTTCAACAGGACTCAGCACCATCGCACTCACCCAAGAATCATTTCCAGCGCATAATCAGAATCATTTCACCTCAAGCAAGCGCTTCCCGGGAATAGGCCAAATACCGCAGAGCAACATTCGGACAGCGTGTGACGGATGGCTTTTGTCTTTGTTGCAGTTTTTTTATACCCTCCACCATACATAGTGTGGAGGGTATATTAAGTTCGTCATTCCTTTTTTAACACATCGAAATAATCATTTTAGACCCAACAAAGTATATATATTCTTGATCAGCGTTAAATTCTAAGACGATTTAGCCCAGTCCGTCCGTCTGTTGTAATCACGCTACAGTCTAAATAAATTAAGATAGGAAGCTAAAATTTTGCACAGATCTCCCTTTTATCTGCAGGTAGGTCAAGTTCGAAGATGGGCTATATCGGTCCACGATATCGTATAGCCCCCCGATATTCGGTATTTTGATGACTTTACCCACATTTTTCAACGGAATTGTCTGAAATTCCACACAAGGAGTCCCTTGTGAGCATTTTATCCCCTGAAAGAGAATTGTGTATATACGTCCACGATATTGTATATCCCCCATATAACGGTACCCCCGATATTCGGTATTTTGATGATTTTACCCACATTTTTCAACGGAATTGTTTGAAAATCCACACAAGTAGTTCCTTGTGAGTACCTTACCCCCTGAGAGATAATTGTCTATATAGGTCCACGATATCGTATATCCCCACACAAGTAGTTCCTTGTGAGTACCTTACCCCCTGAGAGAGAATTGTCTATATAGGTCCACGATATCGTATATCCCCCATACATCGGTACCCCCCCCCCCCCCGATATTCGGTATTTTGATGACTTTACCCACATTTTATCCACGATTTCATATAGCCCCCATATAACCGTACCCCCCCGGTATTCGGTATTTTGATGAGTTCAGCCACATTTTTCTATGGGATTGTCTGAAATTCCACACAAGGAGTTCTTTGTGAACACTTTACCCACTGAAAGGGAATTGTCTATATAGGTCCACAATATCGTATATCCCGCATATAACGGTACCCCTCGATATTCGGTATTTTGATGATTTTGCCACTTCATCCAATGGAATTATCTGAAAATCCGCACAAGGAGTTCCTTGTGAGTACTTTACACCCAGACATAGATTTGTCTTTATAGGTTCACAATATCGTATATCCCCCATATAAGAGATTTTTAATGGATTTTATTATTTTGACAATTTTCTAATTCGTTCCAAATGGTGGAGGGTATTCAAAGTTCGACCCGGTCGATCATACTGCTTTTTTACTTGTTTTTATCTCACTCTGTATATCCTCTCATTCTAAAATTTCCAAATTCTAGCTTATTCCGTTTGTCCAATAAAAAGTATTCAATTTTTAGTACATTTTAGTACTTTTCGTACGATTTTAGAGAGTGATGGTCAAAAATCACCTTTCGATTATATGAAATTTTGCTGGGAATAAAAAATTCGCAGTAGAACGGAAATTTTCGAAGTTATAATCCATTTCACCCGCGAAATATTATCCCCTGGCAACCCAAATTGATAGGCTTCTGTCCCGTCTTATACTCTTACCCCATTCTAAATTCTCATCAATAGTCTATAACTGTGACATGTAGAGCTACAACAAAGTCAGGAAATTTTTCTGTTTTTGATCCATTTCAACCACTAAATATTTTGCCATCATCTCCAAAGCCATAGGCTTCTATTCTTTCTCTATTCCCAATTTAATACAAAATTTCGACCACTCGACCAACACACACAAATATTTTATACTTTCACTTACCCACATCATTCTCATCGATATCGTCCAAATCGTCACGCAAACCTTCCGCCTTTTTAGTTTCTCGTTTACGGATCTCAGCCTCGGCTTCATTCTCCACTATGGCCCTCGAATCAGAATTAAAATTCACCTGGCGATCGCTTACAACTTTCCGTGTCATATTCAAAATAATATTCAATAACCGATGACTTTTGTCGCTCAATTTGGAAAACTTAAAAAGGCTATCCAGACGATAATAGAATTTCAATTGACGCTTTTGTATGATGTCACACATATCTATAACGGCCCCAGCATATTCTAGACATTTATTGGGTTCGGGCAATTTCTTCACACCCATAACAGTGGCGAGCAATATTTCCACCGTCACCTGCGACATATATTTGTGCACATCAAATTCCTTGCCCTGTTCTTGGGCCATACGTTCGACTAGTCGCTTCGAATGTTGGACAAATTTTGGAATGAAACTTTTCAAAATACTCTGATGAAAGGTGGGCGCAATCATTTTGCGATGATGTTGCCAATGTTGGCCACTTGAGATGAGAATGCCATCACCGAACCATGGTTTGAAATAGCTATATTCGTAGGATTTTTCCAAATGGCGGCTGGAGCTAAGAACGACTTCTATGTCGACCGGATTCCAAAGGGCAACTGCAATAATGGGACCCAATATGCCGCGTGCTATGGAACCTGGTGTGTTAATGTACTTGAGAGCCTCAGCCATGATTTCTGGAATTATAAAAAGTAATAAAAATATTAGTAATTATTATAATAAAAAAATAAAAAATATAATAAAAATAAAATAATTATAACTATAATAATTTTAAATTAATTAAATTTTTTTCTATAATTTAATTTTCAAAAATACTTAAAATAATTATAATTTTAATTTATAAAATAAATTTATAATTTTAAAAAATAAAATTTATAATTTTATTTAATTTAAAATAAATTTATAATTTTATTTAAAAATTATTATTTTACAATAAAATTTATAGAAACTATAATAATTTAAACTTAATTGTAACAATAAAAAAATTTAAAACCGGTCCAGTTATTTATAATGAACCTAACCTGCATTTGTCAGATTAAAAACTATGTGACCGTGACCAATAACAGGAAGCCGGGGTGGTGTTGGCATATTTGCTGTTAACTTATATTCACGAGTGTTACGTAGCCAAATCTCAAAGAGCACAGCTATCACCACAAGACCCATTATGGCTGTCCACAAAGGGTTCAAAACCGTATCCACAATCGCGGGCAATGCATCTTGGTCGACGTTCTCCATTTTCTCCAATATTTCCGGGAGTGTAGGAGTTTATTTTATTTTTTTAATTTTATTCTATTTTGTTATTTGTTTTAATCCCAAATTATTATTAACCGATGCGCATTATTCGAAACACTTTATCCGAAGGCGATTTTCTAACTGACTGGTAATTGAGGAATAGCATTTAGATTTTTATAATATTTTGATTGTCTGGCAATTTAATTATTTGTCAGGAATCTGGTTCTTGGCCAACTTTAAAGTGAATTGGTATCAGTTATTACCAAAAAATCTAGTTTTTTTTTTTTCATCGGTATTTTATGAATAAATTAAGATGCCATAACAAAAGTTGTTCAGACATTTCTATTGCATGTGCAAAAGTTCAATTGAAACGAGTATAAGCATGCTGAGAGTAAGAGAATAATAGAAGAATGGTGCTGGAGGACAATTTATTTTAAGGCTAAAAAATCTTTGTGAATAAACGAAGAACACTGAACACAAAATAGATTAGCCCTGAGTTAAACTTTTGACTTCTTGTGACCCTATAGTACATAGCCTGAGACGACGTCTTAATCGAATCAAATATCCAAAATATGAGCATTTAGAAGCAAAATGTTTAAAACCTTATCATATCTTAGAGGTCCCGAGTTGATCTTCACCACGTTTCCATAATCCTTTATTATACTCTCCACCATACTATGGAGGGTACATTGACTTTGTCATTCCGTTTGTAACTCCTCAATCAATAATCAGCGTAAAATTCTAAGTCGATTTAGCCATGTCCGTCTGTTGTAATCACACGAACGAATTGAGAAGGAAAGCTAAAATTTTGCACACATGTTTATTTTTCCAGTAGGCAGGTTAATTTCGTAAATGGGCCATGTAGGTCCACGTTTTCATATAGCCCCCATATTCGGTATTTTGATGATTTTAGCGACATTATTCACCGGAATTGTTTCAAATTTTGTATTTGAAGTTTGAAATGCATACTACAGCCTAAGACAGAAAACTGTCTGTGCAGGTTCATGTCTTCGTATAGCCCCCGTATAACGGTACCTCCCTATTTTCGTAATTTTAAAGATTAAAGCGTCGTTATTCACCGGAATTGTTTCAAATTACGTATTTACAGCTCGTAATGGGAACTACAGTCTGTGACAGAAAATTGTCTATGCAGGTCCAGGTCTTCGTATAGGCCCCACATACCAGTACCTCCCTATATTCGATATTTTGACTAGTTTAGGTACAATATCCACCGAAATTGTTTGAGATGTTGTATTTGAAGTTCGTCATGGATGCTACAGCCTATGAAAGAAAATTGTCTATGCTGGTGCAGGTCTTCGCACAGCTCCGATATAACGCTACCTCCCTATATACGATAATTTTGATGATTTTAGCTACATTATTCACCGTTTACTTCAAGCTTCGAATTTGAATATGGTAATGACTTATGACAAACAATGCCCATGTAGGTCCACGTCGTATAGGCGCCAATATAACGGCTATATTCGGTATTTTTAAAATTTTAACAGAATTTTTTAAGGATTTTATTTCCTAATTCGTTCCAAATGGTGGAGGGTATTCATGCTTTTTAACTTGTTTATGCTCGGTCCTATGACTAAGGACGATATGAAATATGGCAAAAATGTGATAATGTTAATTTACATTTAAAGGGTGTTTTTCTAAGAACTTTCTGATTCGAAATTTAAATAAAATACATGCCAAATTATGATATGACCAAATTTTTTATTTGGATATTTTCTTGTCATTAAACATTTAAATATAATTTCGGGCATATAACCAAAACTACAATTTTTTGCAAAGCTCATTGGTTTGGGGTGAACGAATAAGGCTGAAATTTTGAAATTTTATATTGGGGTCTCTGTTGTTGGTTGGTTTATGATAAAGAGGTGGTTTTAGAAATATGTACTTCAAGTGCACGAAAAATGCTAAATAGTACTATATATGGCACAATTTGGTATTTTGTGAACAGATAGTATTTGAAATCTGGAATTTGGTATTTGAGTCGCTGTTCCTGAAGGATTTGTCGGTGGTTTGGAAATGCGTCCTATATTTGTACGAAAAGTATTAAATGATATTAAATTTGGTATTGGGTGAAAGGATGGGGCTGGAATGCACAAATTTTTTATTAAGGTGTCTATTAGTGTAGAGATCTGGCCGTGGTTTTGAAAATGCGTACAATAAAGGTTAAAAAATAGAAAGTGATATTAAATTGGGTATTGGGTGAAGAGATAGAGCTGGAATCCCGACATTTAATAACCCGGTCTCAATTGGTATCTCGGGTTGAAATATGCAGTGAACGTATGTACGAAAAGTACTAAGTGGTACTAAATTAGGTATTTGGTGAAGGGATAGAACTGGATTCCCGAAATTTGAAATTGAGGTATCTGGGATTAAAATATGGTGGTTTGGAAATGTGTATTGAAATTGTACGAAAAGTACTGAAATCCTAAAATTTGATGAAGGTCTCTGTTGGTATCTGAGATTGGGAAAAGTACTAAATAGTTAGGTTTTGATGAATGTAGGCAAGTAGGAACCTGAGATTTGATATTTAGGTCTCTGTTGGTATCTGGCGGTGGTTTTACAAACGCTTACAATAACTGTTTCGAAAGTACTAAGTGATACTAAATTGGGCATTGGGTGAAGGGATAGAACTAAAATTCCGAAATTTGATATTGAGATTACTGTTCGTATGTGGAATTGGGATATGGAGGTGGGTTTGGAAATATGTGCTACAAGTGTTCGAATAGTACTGATTTTGCATCACTGTTAGTGTCTAAGGTTGTTAATTTTTTTATATGCATACAAAATGTTAAGGTGGACGATGTAAGGCCCTTGAACGGAGTACTCGCTTTAGTACAAACTTGGAAAATATTGCCCACTATTTCTCATACAAAATTTCTACTGAAAATAACTTTATAAAATGTAAAATTGTTTATCGACTTTCCACTAATTCCGCATACCTCAAATTAGAGAGCATCAATCTGATTTTTTGAGGCCGAGTTCGGTCGGGTCGAACATAATGTTTTTATATCCTCCACCATACTATGGAGGGTATATTAATTTTGTCATTTTCCAGTAGGCAGGTTAAGTTCGTAAATGGGCCATGTAGGTCCATGTTATCATGTAGCCCCCATATAACGGTACCCCCCGATATTCGGTATTTTGATGATTTTAGCGACATTATTTACCGGAATCGTTCCAAATTTGGTATTTGAAGTTCGTAATGGATACTGCAGCTAAAACAGAAAATGGGCCATGTAGGTCCACGTCTTCGTATAGCCCCCATATAACGGTACCCCCCGATATTCGGTATTTTGATGATTTTAGCGACATTATTTACCGGGATCATTTCAAATTTGGTATTTGAAGTTAGTAAAGCATACTACATCCTAAGTCAAAAAATGAGTCATGTAGGTCCACGTCTTCATATAGCCCCCATATAACGGTACCCCCCGATATTCGGTATTTTGATGATTTTAGCGACATTATTTAACGGAATCGTTCCAAATTTGGTATTTGAAATTCGTAATAGATACTGCAGCTAAAACAGAAAATGGGCCATGTAGGTTCACGTCTTCGTATAGCCCCCATATAACGTACCCCCCCCCCCCCCCCCCAAATTCGGTATTTTGATAATTAGAGCGATATTATTTACGGGGATTGTTTCAAATTTCGCATGTGAAGTTCGTTATGGATAGTTCAGCCCATGTCAGAAAATTGTCTGTGCAGGTCCATGTCTTCGTATAGCCCCCACATAACAGTATCCCTATAATCGGCATTTTGATGATTTTACGATTTACATCATAAACACATTTTTATTCAAGTTTCGCATGTAGTTATTGTAATAACTTATGACAAAAGTTGCCTATGCAGGTCCACGTCGTCGTATAGGCATTCGGTATTTTTAAGATTTCACAGAATTTTTCACGGATTTTATTTATTTATTTGTGGGAATCGCCAAATTTGTACCAAATGATGGAGGGTATTAAAAGCTCGGCCTGGCCGAACTTACAGATTTTTTACTTGTTTTACTTAAAAAAAATCGTGGACTTCTTAATTTTTTGTAATGTTTTTTCCATTTAGAATATGACACTTTTCTTTTTCTTTGGTATGTTAAGAAAATATATGTGTTCTGTTCAAAAAAATTGACTTATATTTAGTCGATTTAGAACCTCCTGCTGATTATGAATATACACACCATGGGGCCCCTGTGCATGTTTATAGGTGTTACAATAGAAATTACATATTTGATCATCTTGTTACTCACCATTCTTTGTCAGTTTAGACACTACTATTTACTTAACATGAATCTCCAAAATTCCGAGTGTTATTCAAAGAAATCAATGCATGCAAATATTAAAATTAAAATCATGAGTCTTGTTTTGTGTTATTACTGTCTCACTAATTTCGAATAAAATCCAATAAATTAACAAAATACTTTGATCCTAAGGAAATTTTCAGAATTTCAAACAAGAATTTAATTTTGAAGCGACCTTCAATTTTGCATTCATGAAAATTGTTGATAATATCAAATAAAACAATATTTTATAGGAATTATTTTTAAATTATATTTTCCCCCAAAGACCCCACCCCTTAATTTACATACTTATACTCATGGTACAATGATATCAAGGTAGGGCTATGATACCATATGATTTCAATTTTTTTATTTTCTTGGCTTAATATGTCAACTTTATTTGTTTATGTATATGTTTTCTTTTCAATAACAAAAAAATTGTTCAGAAAACATTCAAATTCGGATGTTTTCAAGATGTTTATTTCAACGTATGCATCGACAAAATCTAGAGTTTTTGCAGCGAAATAATCGTTTAGAGATATATAGTACATGATTTTGAAAATAAGTGTTGACTTTTCATTCAGTTATCGCGTTTTTTCAATTATTTTTTCAAAATAAATGCAACAAGTTGTTTGATTCTGTTATTGTTTTGATACTATTTCTGACACTACAAGCCAAACAGGTAGACCTCTATACTTGCAATTTTTTCAAAGTTGACCTACCTTCTCTTCATTGTACCATGCTTATACTTATTTATAGCGCTTTCTTAGCCTCAGGCCTTGGTTCCAGCATTATGTTGAAACCATTTTCCATTTTCAAGATAATATCACCCTGCATGCGGAACTCTTCCTCCTTAAGATTACATTTGACGACGAAATTTCTCAATATGGTTGAGAGCAGAACTTTCAGTTTCAACATGGCAAATTTGCGACCCACACAACTGCGCGGTCCAGCACTGAATGGTATAAAGCTGTAATAATGACGCTTGGCCGTACGTTCGGGTAGGAAGTTATCCGGATCAAATTTATTGGGATTGGGAAAAGATTTCGCATCACGATGTATAGCATATGGCAGTATGACAATGGTAGTGCCTTTCGGTATTGAATATGGTCCGGATGGTAATTTTATATCATATTCAGCGCGACGGGCAATCACTGGTACTGGTGGATATAAGCGTAGAGTTTCCATTATTACACGTTCTAAATATTTCATTTCCATGGTATCGGAAAAGGTACAATCACGCATGAAGTCATCACCGAAAATGGTTTTCTGTTCGGCCAGTACTTTTTCTTGCATGTCCTGATAAATGCCCAATATGCAGAGAACAAAACTGGAGGCAGCCGATGTGGTATCATGACCCTAGAGAAAATCAATTTTTAATACAATTAATTATTCAAATATTTGGATTTTCTTCAGGACCCTTACCTCAAACATAATTGTATTGACTTCATCGATAATATCCTTTTCGGTCCATTCAATTTCGGGATTTTTGGACATTTCCATCATGGCATCCAATAAAGCCAACCTCTTCTTGGCACCTATTAATATTTATCAGTTGAAGATTAAGACTCAAGCCATAATAAAAACTTCATCTTTCATACTCACCCACATCATTCTCATCGATGTCATCCAAATCATCACGCAATCCTTCAGCTTTTATTGTTTCTTCTTTACGCTTGGCAACCTCGGCCTCATTCTCCAATATAGCCCTCGAATCTGCATTGAAATTCTTTTGACGTTCCTCCACCACTTTTCGTGTCATATTCAAAATTATATCCAACATTTTATTGGCCTTCTCATGAAATTTCGATAATCTAAATATGGAATCCAGGCGATAGAATACCTTTACTTGACGTTTATGTATCACATCGCACATATCCAACACAGCATTGGCATATTCCAAACATTTGCTTGGTTCGGGCAGCTTTTTCACTCCCATTACAGTAGAGAGTAATATCTCCACCGTTACCTGGGACATATACTTATGGGCATCGAATTCTTTGCCCGCTTCCAGAGACATACGATGCACCACACTCTTGGAGTGTTGAACAAATGTTGGAATGAAACTTTTCAAAATACTCTGATGGAAAGTGGGTGCAATCATTCGCCGATGGTGTTGCCAATGATGTCCTTTGGAGATGAGCAGACCATCACCAAACCATGGCTTGAAATATTTATATTCTTTTGATTTTTCCAAATGACTGCTAGAACTGAGCACGATTTCAATATCCACTGGATTCCATAAACCCACAATGAGTATAGGACCTAAATAGGCACGCAGTATCGATCCCGGGGTGTCAATGAATTGGAGAGCTGTCGACATGATTTCTGGTCAAGAAAAATAAAAAAACCAACATTTTTATCAAAATAAGACTTGTGATAATATTCAAAACATTTTATTAAAAAATCAATAGATATTACAAATTATTTGTCAGATCCACAATTTTTTGTCAGGGGTCCCCTGATTCCATCCTTGAGAAAGTCTCTGACATTTTTTTCATAAAAGCCCACTATTTTTGTCAAGAAGTTCTGAACAATTTTGGTTGAGGAAGCCAATAAATATTTTTCTTAAAAAGTATCTGAGAGATCCTCCAAATCCACGGTTCTCTGTCGATATTTCCCTGAAATAAGTTTTAAAAACATCCATGATTTGTGATCAAGAGCCGACTCAAAAATTCGCGGTTATTGGTCAGAAGGTTCGAGACTTTTTATATCCTACACTACATAGTGGTTAGTGTATTACGTCTTTGTGCATTTGTTTGTAACATGGAGAAGGAAGTGAGATAGATCCACAGTTACTTTTCAGAATCTTCTTAAAATCACTATCGAAGTCGATTTATGCATGCCAGTCAGCCCGTCCACCCGTCTTTCCATGTATTTTTTTTTTTTTGAACAAAATGCAGGCCGCATATTTTATCCGATTGAGATGAAATTTTCCACACAATATTTGGTTGGTCAAAGGACAATACTGGTTAAAATCGGTTCAGATTTAGATATAGCTCTCATATATACAGGGTGAGATGAAAAAACTGCAACCAATTTCAGACTGCTGTCATTTCTAAGCCACTCGTCCGACAGCTGTTAAAATTCTTCCAGTGATAGCTCATTATATCGTTTACAAGCGTATAGAAGCATTTTGGTGAGAATTTTCCAGAAAAAAAGTTATTCGTGATGGAATTTAAGCGTGATAGTGTGATTTCTTTATATTTGGCTAGAAAACCACAAGTGGCTATCGTTGGAGCACTCCAGCATTTAAATGTGAATAAATCTTTTGTGTAGCGTAGCCTGACGTCAAGGAAGTGGACGGAAGAAAACAGCAACATTAGCAGAAATGGTCCGAAAAGTAAAGAAGAGACTTGATCGAAACCCACGTCGCAATGACCGAAAAATGGCTCGTGAGCTGAACATATCGCAATATTCCATTCGGCAAATATTGAAAAATGAGCTCGGGGTAAAGCCATTGAAATTCCAAAAACTGCAAGAACTTACACCGTTACGAAAAGAAAATAGACTCAAAAGAGCTAAAGAGTTGCTTCGCTTGACCGAAAGTGGTGGTGGTGTATTAAAGTCTTGGGCACCCCAACATTTTGGCCGCAGACCTTGGATATTCCAACAGCACTCAGCACCATCGCACCAAACAAATGTAAAAATTATGGCGTTTGACTTTATTGCAGTTTTTTTATCTCACCGAAATCTTCAACCGATTTCGGGTTAACTGTACACCAAAAAACCAATATCAGTCCAAATGGCCTGAATTTTGTCACATCTGAATTGATTCAGTCTAGAACCAAGCACATCAAATTTGGTGAAAATCTGTTGAGATATAGCTACAGCTCTCATGTATATGTGCATAATATGCACTCCTGAATAATATGTGCATTAAATTTTGTCAAAACGGTTCAGATTTGGATATAGCTCCCATATATATTTTTATCCCATACCAGGTTTATTGTGCACAAAATGGCTAATATCAGCCCGAATGGACTAATGGCTAATATCAGCCCAAATGGTATAGATTTAATATTCAATAGAATTCTTTGTTACCGGAGCTCTTCAAAATATGCTAAGTGGTGTAGGGTATCATATAGTCGGCTCCGCCCGACTTTTGACCTTCCCTTACTGGTTATTGTCATAAAAATTGAAAAATTTTGATCAGAAAGTCCCAAACGTTTTGGTTGATGAGGCTTTAGACATTTTTCATATAAAGTCCCTGATTTTTAGTCTTGAAGATTCTGAAAAATCCACAGTTCTTTATCTGCAGTTCCCAGAAATTAGTTTAAAAATATACACTATTTCTTGTCCAGGCCCGTTACAAAAATTATGGTTATTGGTCAGAACGCCTTTGATCCTTTCTCGTATTTTTTTTTATAAATCACGATTTTTTGGAGGTTTCATAAAATTTGTTTTTAAAATTCACCAAATTTGTTAGGAAGTCAAAAAATTGTGTTAAAATTAACAATGATCTTTGGTCAGAACAGAAAGAACACCATTGTAATATAATTGCACTTCGTCTCATATCTCCCCAAAATAACCAAAACCCTAATACTAGTGTTCCATTAACTCTCTGTCAATTCTCACTCTCCCTTTTATTTTTTCATATTTTAATAACCCCATCGCACTTACCTGCATTTGATAAATTGAAAACCAAATGGGCCTGGCCAAGGACCGGCACCCGCGGCGGTGTTGGCATATTTGCTGTTAACTTATATTCACGAGTATTGCGTAGCCATATTTCAAATAGTATTGCTATAACCAGTGTACCCACTAGGATCGTCCACAAAGGACTTAATAATGAAATTTTCTCCGGCAGCATGACATTTTCTTCGTTTACTTTATCCATACTTTCGACTATTACCGATCGCGCTGACATATTTCGTACTCAATGGAAAATTTTCAAGTATATTGTTGGAATGCCAACTAAATACTGCAACATTGTTCGAAATGGAATTCCGCTTTCTTGTCATTATTCTTTGATTATCATTTAAAATGATTGTTTATTTATTTAATTGGGTTTTGTTTCTATTAATTTTGAATTATTTCACGCAGGTAAATAAATATTCAGTGTAAAAGTTTTTTTTTTTCATAAAATTTTTTTTTTTTTTGAAAACAAAATATAGACTTTTTTCATTGGGAAAAAATTTTGTTTGTAATTTATAGACTCGAAAGTAAGGTAAGATTTAAAGAAAGAATTTATGTGAAGTAGATCATACCAACTCTGAATTTCTGACTTCGATAAGAATTATATTAAAAAAATATTTAATACCGGACCGAGTTTCACCAATTGGCCAAATTCAATTGAATATAAAACCAGTAAAGAAAGTCTTAAAGTCGGGCGGGGCCGACTTTATGATACCCTACACCACTTTGCTAATTAAGTAGAGCTCCAGATAACAATTAAAAGTTTTTATGGGAGAATTCAATCATACACCCTTGATTATAATTATAATTTAAAGATCAAAGGACTAAATATGCCGAAGCATTTGTATCTTTTAAATTCGGAATTGTATTGCCCTTTTGGTGCACAATTAATTTGAAATCGGATAAAGATATATATGGGAGCTATATCCAAATCTGAACCGATCTGGATAAAATTTGGCAAAGATATTTCTGAGCTGTATTTGATATATTTCCCTGAATATCGTTGTTACGGAGTGCATATTACGGTTGTGGGTAACAAATATAACAAATCGGATGAACAATATATATGGAAGCTATAGCTATATCTGAACCGATCTTCACCAAATTTGACATACTAGCTTCTAGACTCAATTCGGTCGTAAGTGCCCAATTCCATTCCATTTAGGCAAATATTAGACGTTTGGTGCACAATAAAAGATAAATCGGACGAAGTTATATATGGGAGCTATATCCAAATCTGAACCGATCTCGATAAAATTTGGCAAATGTATTTCTGAGCTGTATTTGATATATTTCCCCAAATATTGTTGTTGCAGAGTGCATATTACGGCTGTGGAGGACAAAAATAACAAATCGGATGAACAATATACATGGGAGCTATAGCTATATCTGAACCGATTTCGATCAAATTTGGCATACTTATTTTTAGGCCTAATTTGGGCGTATATGCAAAATTCCATACAAAGGTAAATCGGACGAACATATATATGGGAGCTATATCTAAATTTTGACCGATTATCTCCAATTTCAATAGGGTTCGTCCTTGGGCCAAACAAATGATCTGTGCAAAATTTCATCTGGATCGGGCAATAAATGCGACCTGTACTTTGTTTACAAAAATACATGGACAGACGAACGGACGGACATACATAAATCGACTTAGAATGTGATTCTATGCAGATCATCAAAAGGAACTATGGGAATGGTTATCTCGTCAGTAACAGATCATTTATTGTTTACAAGCGTACGGAGCATTTTGGTGAGAATTTTCCAGAAAAAAAAAATAACTCGTGATGGAATTCAAGCGTGATAGTGTGATTTCTTTATATTTGGCTGGAAACCCACAAGTGGCTATCGTTAGAACACTCCAGCATTTAAATGTGAATAAATCTTTTGTGTCTTGTACCATCGCTCGTTACCATGATACTGGTATCGTAGCCCGACGTCAAGGAAGTGGACGGAAGAAAACAGCAACATCAGCAGAAATGGTTCCAAAGGTAAAGAAGTGATCGAAAAATGGCTTGTGAGCTGAGCATATTCCATTCGGCAAATATTGAAAAATGAGATCGGCGTAAAGCCATTGAAATTCCAAAAAATGCAAGAACTAACACTGCAACAGAAAGAAAATAGACTCAAAATAGAGGTGCCACAATTCACTCCATTTGGGCTGATATTAGCCACAAAAAAAATCTGAAAATGGAAAAAGATATATTTTGAAGACATGTCCAAATCTGATCCGATCTTAACAAAATTCGAAAAACTTATTTCTGAGCTTTATCTGATATCTTGTACCAAAGATTATTGTTTTCCAGTGCATATTGCGCATGTGAGGAACTCAAAACCCCAAATCGGATGAAACATATATATTGGAGCTACGGCTATATCTGAACCGATTTTCACCAAATTTTAAGTACTGGTTTCTAAGATGTATTCAGTCGGAAATGCCAAATTCAGTTCATTTGGCCTGATATTGGCCATTTGCTGCAAAACAAATCTATATACTATATACTGGAGCTAAATCCTAATCTAATCCAATCTCGATAAAATTTGATAAAAGAATTTTTGAGCTCCATAAATTATATGATACCAAATATCATTCTTATGGGACATAAAACTCCAAATCGGATTAAACATATATATGGGAATTAAGCTATATGTGGACCGATTTTCCTCCAAATTCATATAATTGCTTCTTAACTGAATTCGGTTGGATGTGTCAAAATTCAGATCATTTGGACTGATAATGGCCATTTGGTGCGCGATTAACCCGAAATGGGTTGAAGATATATATGGAAGTTCTATCTAAATATGAACCGATTCTCACCAATTCCAATAGGGTTCGTCCTTGGACCAAACAAATATTGATTGGAAATTTTCATCTCAATCGGATAACAAATGCGATCTGCATTTTGTTCACAAAAATACATGGTCAGACGGAGTGACATGCATAAATCGACTCAGAAAGTGAATTTATGTAGATCCCTCAAAGTAACATATGGTCTATCTCACTTCCTTCTCCATGTTACAAACAAATGCATAAAGACATAATACCCTTCCCACTATACACGGGTAGGATATAATTAAAGAACTTCAGAGTCGGAATTTGTAATAACATTTTTATGTGGGCTTCCTGACTTAGTGCCAGAACAATGGTGCAGGGTATAACTTTCAACTGTCTGAAGTAGGAAAGCAATGTGACTACTTTCTCCAACTTATACTAAGACACGACTTTAAAAATGGATTTATTGGGCTTTTACCGATTACTAAACGTGCATTTATTATGGTGTATGCAATTAATTCATCAAAATTTTTCAAAAGAATTGCTATACATCGAATTTATGCCTGGAATTGCGGAAGCTATAGCACATGCTAAATTATATTCCAGTATCATTAATATTAATTTTCGATGTTTTGTATAATCAAATAAAACTCAATTAACTTCGAATTAGTTTGATCTCTGATCCAATAGCACTGAAATCAAAACACATTTTTCGGAACTCGATAAGCAATGACCTTGTGTGACAATGACCTTCAAATATTCAACTACAACCATATAAAAACTTTTAAATAAAACCAAATGAAATTTGTATTAGTATTCTCTAATTTATTTTCCCCACCCCTTATCTCGTTTCCCCTTACTTATAACACCTTCTTAGCCTCGGCTCGTGGTTCCAGCATTATATTAAAACCATCTGCCATTTTCAATATAATATCACCCTGCATACGGAAATCTTTCTCCTTTAGCTTACACTTGACTTCGAAATTCCTCAATATGGTCGAGAGTAACACTTTCAACTTCAACATGGCAAATTTACGACCCACACAACTGCGCGGTCCAGCACTGAAGGGTATAAAACTGTAATAATGCCTCTTGGCCATACGTTCGGGCAGAAAGTTATCAGGATCAAATGTATCGGGATTTGGGAATGATTTCGGATCACGATGTACGGCATATTGCATTACTGCTATGGTGGTGCCTTTGGGTATTGAATATGGTCCAGATGCCAACTTGATGTCATATTCAGCACGACGTGCTATGAGGGGTACTGGTGGATACAGTCGCAGGGTTTCCATTATTACACGCTCTAAATATTTCATTTCCAAGGTATCGGAAAAGGTACAATCACGCATGAAGTCATCACCAAAAATGGCTCGCTGTTCGGCCAACACCTTCTCTTGTATGTCTTGGTAATTGCCCAATATGCAAAGAACAAAACTGGAGGCAGCCGATGTGGTGTCATGACCCTAAAAAAATTAATTTCAAATTTTAATTATGATTTTCAAATTAAAAATTATTTGTCGATCCCTACCTCAAACATAATTGTATTGACCTCATCGATAATATCCTTTTCGGTCCATTCGATTTCAGGATTTTTGGTCATTTCCATCATGGCATCCAATAAAGCCAATCTCTTCTTGGCACCTTCAATATTTATCATTTGATGATTTAGACTCAAGCCATAATCAAAAACTTCATCCTTAATACTCACCCACATCATTTTCATCGATGTCATCCAAATCATCTCGCAATCCTTCGGCTTTTATTGTTTCTTCCTTACGCTTGGCAACCTCTGCATCATTTTCGAAAATTGCCCTCGAATCAGCATTGAAATTCATTTGACGTTCCTCCACCACTCTGCGTGTCATATCCAAAATTGTGGTCAACATTTTATGACCCTTCTCATGAAGTTTCGAAAATTTAAACATGGCATCGAGACGATAAAATACCTTCAACTGACGTTTGTGTATCACATCACACATTTCCAACACAGCATTGGCATATTCCAGACATTTATTTGGTTCGGGCAATTTTTTCACTCCCATAACAGTGGCGAGTAAAATTTCCACCGTCACCTGGGACATATACTTATGGGCATCGAATTCCTTGCCCGCTTCTAAGGACATGCGATGCACCAAACTCTTCGAATGTTGGACAAATGTGGGGATGAAACTTTTCAAAATACTCTGATGGAAGGTGGGCGCAATCATTCGCCGATGATGTTGCCAATGATGTCCCTTGGAGATGAGTAGACCATCACCAAACCATGGCTTGAAATATTTATATTCGTAAGATTTTTCCAAATGACTGCTAGAACTGAGCACAATTTCAATATCCGCTGGATTCCATAACGCCACAATAAGTACGGGACCCAAATAGATACGTAGCACACCTCCCGGGGTGTCAATGTATTCGATGGCCTTGGCCATGATTTCTGGATAGAAAAAATAAATTAAATAATATTATGAACAAAATTTATTAAGTTGTACAACGGGTTTTTTTTAATAAGTATGCAATTTTTTGGGAAATACTTTGAAACAGGTCAAGGAAACAAATAAAATTCTCTATACACTCGAAGTAAAATGTCAAAAAAAACTTTTTTGTATCCTACAGCATACTGTAGTACGAGGTATTTTTTAATGAAAGCTACGCCAAAATGTGGTCCTATATTGATAGCGTTTCTACATAATAAGAACTCAAAATAACACTATCAAAACATAAAAAAAATATTTGACACTGCAGTTATTCTTACATGCGTTCTATTCCAAAAAAGTGGACGAATATAACCCATTTCCTGTTCAAATGATTCTCGGTGTAATCCAAAGATCCCTTCACAATTTGAAATATTTCCTAAATGTTGCGAAATATATCTCATATTGTGGGGGTCCCTTTGTATACCGAGTGAAATGAAAAAACCAACCAACCAAACCAACTTCAGACTGCTCTCAATTCCAAGCCATTCGTCCGACAGCGGTTAAAATTATTCCAGTGACAGCTCATTATATTGTTTAGAAGCGTACAAAAGCATTTTGGTGAGAACTTTCCAGAAAAAAAGTTATTCGTGATGGAATTCAAGCGTGATAGTGTGATTTCTTTATATTTGACTGGAAAATCACAAGTGGCTATCGTTAGAGCACTCCAGCATTTGAATGTGAGTAAATCTTTGGAGTGTATCGTAGCATCGCTCGTTCCTGTGATACTGGTAGAGTAACCCGGCGTCACGGAAGTGGACGGAAGAAAATAGCAACATCAGCAGAAATGGTTCGAAAAGTAAAGAAGCGACTTGATCGAAACCACCCGCGTCGCAGTGGCCGTAAAATGGCTCATGAGCTGAACATATCGCAATATTCCATTCATCAAATATTAAAAAATGAGCTCGTGGTAAAGCCATTGAAATTCCAAAAAGTGTAAGAACTTACACCGCAACAGAAAGAAAATAGACTCAAAAGAGTTGAAGAGTTGCTTCGCTTGGCCGAAAGTGGTGAACTGTCAAATTTGGTTTCCTCCGATGAGAAGACATTCGTTTTCCAGCAGTTTCAAAACAAACAAAATGTTTACTTGCTAAAGAGGTCAGATGAAAATGTGAACCTTCGGTTGGCCACCAGAATTCAAGCGCCAGCCATGGTGATGGTGTGGGCAGCCATAACAACCAATGGTCGCTCTCCGCTCGTATTAATCGAGCGTGGCATCAGAATAAATGTGGAGTATTATTGCAAAAATATTCTGGAGGGTTTATTAAAGCCTTGGGCACGCAAACATTTTGGCCGCAGGCCTGGAACATTCCAGCAGAACTCAGCACCATCGCACTCAGCAAGCGCCACCCAAGAATGGTTACAAAATGAAGTTCTTCGCTTCATTACCAGCGCACAGTGGCCTTGGTGGCTCTCCGGATACCAATCCGTTGGACTATTGTGTCTGGAGTATTTTGGAAAGCCAGGTTGGCACTAAAAAATACCAAAATTTCGATCACCTCAAGCAAGCGCTTCGCCGGGAATGGGCCAAAATACCGCAGAGCAACATTCAGGCAGCGTGTGACGGTTTCATTGACCGTTTGAAGGCCATAATTTGTGCCAAAGGTGACCAATTCGAACAAATCTAAACTTGTTCTAAAATGTGGTGCTATTTCCGACATTTTGTGCTTTCATTCAATAAAATTTAAAAAAAAAATCCTAAAATTATGGCGTTTGACTTTGTTGCGATTTTTTTATCTGACCCTGTATATCTTATATATATCTTCCCCCGATTTATTTTTATTGTGCACAAGATGTGTAACGTTAGCCAAAATAGGATAGAATTTGGCACCTATAACCAAATTGAGCCTAAAAACTGGTGTGTCCAATTTCGTGGAAATCGTTTCCGATATAGCATAGCACCCAATATATATTCTTCATCCGATTTGTTAAATTACTCCTACACAGCCATAATACGCACTACGTAATAACGATATTCAGACATGCTGCTCGGAAATACATTTGCCAAATTTTATCGAGATCGGTTCAGATTTGGATATAGCTTCCATATATATATTTACTCTATTTCAAGTTTATTGCGCACCAAATGGAACATCAGTTAAGATATAGCTCTAGGTCCCTTACAATGTTTCATCCGATTTTGTATTTTATCACATCACACCCGTAAAACTACAGCATAGAAATACCTCTGCTAACTTTTATAGAAATTTGAATATAGCTCCGATATATATCTTCATCCGATTTCACGTTTATGAATGTCTTCGTCAACTTTTGTAGATTACGATCATAGTCTGCCATGTATTACCATTTATTTGTTATATGTAGCTCTACTACATATGCACACTTGTTTAGGGTACCATAAAGTCGGCCCAGCCCCACTTTGGTCTTTCTTTATTGGTTTTATTTTGTCAATTTTTCCAACTTACCAGCATTATTTAAATTTAAAACAAAATGAGCATGTCCAAGAATCGGTAACTTTGATGGCGTTGGCATATTTGCCGTTAACCGGTATTCACGAGTATTCCTCAGCCATATTTCATATAGCATTGCTATTATCGCGACACCTATTACGAGTGTCCACAAAGGATTAAATGTTGAAATTGTCTCCGGCAAGGAGTCGAATTCTGGAACTTTATCCACATTTTCAAGTGTCAAGGACTCCACTGACATATTTTTGCGGTTAATGCAATTCCGCAAATATGAAAATTATCACAATTCTAAAAAAATGACTGGATTAATCTATTTCGATGTCGCTTTTATACTGATGCAGACTATGAGACATAATTTGGTTTTTGATAATTCGCTGATCATAGCTTTGGAGCGATCTTCGTCCAATCGAGTTTTTGTTTTTTGTTTTTTAAAATTTAGTACAGGTTTTAATTGAAAATTTATATGTATAAAGTATAATGGCTTACGTAGAATAATAATAATTAGGCAAAATATACTTGATTTAATGTGAAAAAAATATAACGATTTGGTTTAGGGAAATTGTTAATATAATTTGTGCACAATGGACTGAGCGATGTCATTATTTGTCATTACTTTTGTAAATTTTATCAAAATATTATAACCATCTCTCGGTTTTGCCGACAAATGTATACCCTTTACTACTGTTGGTTTATTTAAATATATTTTTATACCCTCCACCTTGGAAAGGAGGGTATATTAACTTTGTCATTCCGTTTGTAACATCCTTAAATATTCGTCTTAGACCCCATAAAGTATATATATTCATAATCAGCATAAAATTCTAAGTCGATTTTACGATGTCCGTCTGTCTGTCTGTCTGTCCGTCTGTCTGTTGAAATCACGATACAGCCCACATTATTTGACGTAGAGCGCCAAAATTTAGCAGAGCAATTTGCATTGTGTCTAGGCTGGTTGGTATTGAAAATGAGATATATCGGTCCACGTTCTAGTATAGTCCCCATATAACGGTACCTCCCGATATTCGGTATTTTGATGATTTATGCCACATTTTTTCACGGATTTGTCTGAAAATTGGTATTTGTTGGTCATAACGGGTCCCTGAGCGTGTGGCAAAACATTGCATGTATAGGTCCACGTTGTGGTATAGCCCCCATATTACGGTACCTCCCGATATTCGGTATTTTAATGGTTTTTGCCACATTTTTTCACTGATTTTTCTAAAAATTGGTATTTGTGGGTCATAATGGGTCCTAGTTCGTGTGGAGAAACATTGTAATTATAGGTCCACGTTTTGGTGTAGCCCCCATATAACGGTACCTTCCGATATTCGACATTTTAATGGTTTTTGCCACATTTCTTCTAATGTTTCTTTTACCCTAGCGTGGAGGGTATTAAAAGTTTGACCCGGCCGAACTTAATGTTTTTTTACTTGTTGCTTGTGTAATGATTATTTAAAGTGTTGACCCATTACGGGAGAAGTTCCAAAGTAGTGAGCCAATGTTGTCCGTTTCGTATCTGGCCTAGGTCTGATATAAAAGTGCCAGATATGGACTATATCGACTACTTCATTTAAATCAGATATTTTTTGTACTTTTTGAAAAATGTAGATCTCTGGTTACCAAATTTTAAAATAAATTGACTTGCTTTGCAAAATCATTAGAGATATAAGTATTGAAAATTGTTACCCTTTGTAGAAAAGATACCAGAAAGGGTGGGCCGATATATATAATCTTCACACCAGGTCTCGCGTTAATAAAAATATTGGGATGTGTAAAGTTTGAAGGGAATCGGGATAATAAAAAACCGTTGACCCGTTGTTGGGGAGGTACCAGAAGGAGTGGTCTGACATATTCCATCTTTTTAAATTATTATGTGTTGATAGAAATATTTGAATTTGCCAAGTTTGAAAATAATCAGATGTTCTGTTTGCGTTTTATGAGCTTTATAATTATGCAAAATTTTTGGGAGAGGTACCAGAAGTAGTGGATCGATTTATCTTCACCCTAGATCTTGCATTAATTAAAATATTGTGATGTGCTGAATTTGAAATGAATCTGATGCTTATTTCGTATTTTATAAAAGTTATAATTATTCAAAATTTTGGCTTTTTGTGGAAGGTAAATGATGGAGTAAGGCGATATTACCCATTTTGGAAGATCCTTTCTTCTTCTACACGGAAGGAGTGGACCGATATTGCCCATCTCCAAACTCGATTTAAGTTTGGCAATAATATTACAAAGTACCAAGTTTTAATCAAATCGGATACTCCCTTCGAGAATTATCGTACACCCGTGCCAGATAGACAGACGGACGGACACCCCTAGATATCCTCAAATGGATTTGATCCAAAGAGACCTAGAGTCTAAAGGTGATGAGGCACGTTTTGGCCGTACCAAATGATATACACCCTCTGTAACCATATGGCTGAGGGCATAAAAATTGAAGACATGTGTATCGTCTCTGATTAGGATTCCAGGAAATAATTGCAATTAAGGTATGTAGTGTCTTTAGTAATATCAGTGACATGTACCTGATATATAGATCAAAATATTCTACAAATTTGTAACCCTCCACCATAGTAAGTTTGTCATTCCGTTTGTAACACATCGAAATGTACATTTTAGACCCACCAAAGTATATATTCGGTTTTAGATCATTTTAGCGACATTATCCACTTCAGTTGTTTTAAATTTCGTATTTAAAGTTCAAAATGGATACTACCGCCTAAGAGAGAAAATTGTCTGTGCAGGTCCAGCTCTTCGTATATCCCCCATATAAATGTACCTCCTATATTCAGTATTTTCATAATTTTAGCGACATTATTCATCGGAATTTTATCAAATTTCGCCATCTGCCATATGTGAAAAAATTGCCCCCGCAGGTGCACGTCTTCGTAAGCCCAACATTACGGTTACTCCCAGTATTCGATATTTTTATACCCTCCACCATAGTATGGACGGTATATAAAGTTTGTTATTTCGTTTGTAACACCTCGAAATATACATTTTAGACCCCACAAAGTATATATATTTTTGATCAGCATAAAATTCTGTGTCGATTTAACAACGTTCGTCCGTCTATCCGTCTGTGGAAATCACTCTAGCTTCCGAACAAAATGAAGTAAGTTGATAAAAATTTACTCAAATGTGTATTTTGTCTACAGGACTTTTGGTATTGAAAATGGGCCACATCTTCGTATAGCCCCCATATAACGGTCCCTCCCAATATGCGATATTTTAATGATTTTAGCGACATTATTTACCGGAATTGTTTCAAAATTGGTATTTGAAGTTTGTAATGGATACTACAGCCTAAACCAGAAAATGGGCCATATAGGACCACGTCTTCGTATAGCCCCCATATAACGGTACGACATTATTTACCGGAATTACTTCAATTTTTGAATTTGAAGTTCGTAAAATTGTCTGTGCAGGCTTATGACAAAAGTTGTGTATGCAGGTCCACGTCGTCGTATAGACCCTAATATACGGCTACATTCGGTATTTTTAAGATTTTAACGGCATTTTTATGGATTTTAATTTTTTGAAAATTGCCAAATCGTTGAAGACCAAATAATTCCTCATCAAAATTCACAACAAGTCAATGAAGAAAATGAATCCCCATTTCCATTACAAATCAAGAAAATATCTGCATCAATTTTGCCACAAACGAAACGAAAAAATGTCCTAATAGTGTTGGTCAATAGTTCCTAACTAGTTTTTCGAGTTGATGCATTAATATAAGAAAAAAATTCTTTTAGACAGAAAATACGAAAAGGAGAAATATTCTACACAAAATTTTATGTGGAAATTATGAATTTACATTTTTCACTGCCAATTAAACACGTTTTCATTCTAAGTATGTCTCCCTTAATATTTAATATTTTCGAGAAAGTGTCAAAGGAAGAAATATTCTAGATAAAATTTGATTTTAAATGTAGGAACAAAAACTTCAATACCTAATATGTACCATGCAAAATATCATCAATTTAGGATTGCTAAAACCCTGTTTCATTTTCTATAAATTTAGCACTATACCTAACTTTCTGCAAATTTCTATATAATTTCAATGTTCAATCAGTGCTAATCAATGATGAGTTGTCGTCCTTGTAATTACTTTTTGTGTTGCACAGTGTTATTGAACATCAATAAAATCAACTTCCATAATGCACCCGAATTTAACGACGTTATCAATTTCAACCTGATTTAACTGCATTACTCAGACGTAACAGTAATAACCATCATATATTAGATATATAGATCGAGATATTTAATGAAATACATTTGTAAAAAATTATCATCGACAATTAAACAGATTCAAGAAAATATTTTAATCATTTTTAGTATTAGCATTTATAATGAGTTGATCCTTAGAAGGAAGGGAGGAAATACGGTGTTTGTCTTTCAAAAGTACTTTCTAAACATTTCGATTTGATAATAAAATTTATAATGTGGAGCAATAGGCCCACAGAATTTTGCAAATGCATTTTAATGGTGTATCCAGAGAAGGGGGAATCACACTGAGATCTTGGCGTTTACTGCTACAAATCATACTTTCTTTCAAGGGCTTTGTACTCTACGTTTATTTATTTATTTTATTTTTATTTATTTATTTATTTTTTTTTTTAATTGAAAACTTATTGTACGAATAATAATCTATATTAATAAAATAGTAAAGTAATTGACAGATGGTCTGACTTAAGGATTCACCAACGCTCAGACGAAACGGCTGAAACTAGAATCGTGAAAATTGTGGGTGGGGTTCACTCTTGTTTGTCCGAAGGTGTCAGTTAAATCTGTGATTTTGGAAATTCTTACAAGATCGATACTAAAAGCACTGAATATGGTACCCTTTTTTTGACGAACCAGTAGAGCTAGAACTCATAAATTTGGAATGAAGGGCACTGATGGAGTACATGATGGACGAGCAAAGGTTTTTTTTGAAAATTCGCACCGGAAGTCTACGGAAATTTACTAAAATATACAACATTTGGTACCATTTCTTATCATGTAAACGGTAAGAACTAAAAACTAGGAATAGGAATGAAGCTTGAGAAGTAGGGTCATTTTGGTAGTTTTGGAAGTGTGTACTCATGTATACGAAAAGTACTATACGGTACTAAATTTGGTACAAATTGAACTTAGAGCAATCGATGGAGCTGGAATCCTGAAATTTGAAATCAATATTACTGGAAGGATTGGGATATAGAGGTAGTTTCGAATTTTGTACTTATGTGCACAAAAAGTACTAAATGGTACTAAATTTCGTACAATTTCGATTTTGGTGAAGCGATAAAGCTGGAATGCTGAAATTTGGAAAAAGCATTACTATTGCATTGTAGGCCTAAAGTATGTAGGTAGTTTTGAAAATTCGTACTTATGTGTAGTAAATGGTACTAAATTTGGTACAATTTGGAATTGAGCGAACCGATAGAGTTGGAATCCTGAAATTTTGAATTAGAATTACCGTGTATACACTAAATTGTATCAAATTTTTTATAATTTATATTAGGGTGAACCGACAAAGCTGTAAACTTGAAATCTGGGATTGAGATATTCTGGAATTGAGATATTGGGTTATGTAGGAACTTTTGGAAATTCATACTTATGTGTACTAAACTTTTAAAACTGAAGTCATGAAATTTAGAATTACAAGGTGTGATAAAAAAACTGCAACAAAATCAAACGCCATAATTTTTACATATTTTTTAAATTTTATCGAATGAAAGCAAAAATTTTCGAAAATAGCATCAAATTTTGCAATAAGTTTAGAATTGTTCGAATTGGTCACCTTTTGCACGAAGTATGGCGTTCAACCGGCCAATGAAACCGTCACATGCTGCCCGAATGTTGCCCTGCGGTATTTTGTCCCATTCCCGGCGAAGCGCTGGCTTGAGGTGATCGACACTTTGGTATTTTTTAGTGCCAAACTTTCTTCCAAAATACTCCAAACACAATAGTCCAACGGATTGGTATCCAGAGATTTTAATGGCCATTGTGCGCTGGAAATGAAGCGAGGAACCTCATTTTGTAACTATTATTGGGTAGCGCGTGCTGAGTGCGATGGTGCTGAGTCCTGTTAGAATGACCAAGGTCTGCGGCCAAAATGTTTGCGTGCCTAAGGCTTTAATACACCCTCCGGAATATTTTCGCGATAACATTCGGCATTTATTCTGATGTCACGGTCAATTAATACGAACTGAGAGCGACCATCGGCTGTTATGGCGGCCCACACCATCACCATGGCCGGCGCTCGAGTTCTGGTGGCCAACCGAAAGTGCACATTTTCAGCAAGTAAACACGATCATTTTCTTTGTTTACAAATATTCTTTTTCTCATCAGAGAAAACCAAATTCGGCAGTTCACCACTTTCGGCCAATCGTTTGAATGGACGTCAATAGGATTTCCGTCAGTCTGTCAATAACCTTACACTTTTTATAAACAAAGATTGCGGAATTTTCATTGACTTGTATAGACTGTCGCAAAATAACAAATGAAAAATGTCTTCTATATTGCGATGCAAAACATATTAATCGTAGCATCTTTACAATCGATTTATAGATTCAAAATCAAGTTATCCGATCTACTGGGAAACAAAACGTTGAACCTACATTAAATACGAATATTCAAATATTTGAAGTGACGTATGCTTGGTTATTGCACTTTGAGTTTGAAATGTTTTTTTCAAGTCGTACAAAAGTTCAAAAGAAGGTCGAGAACATGTAAATAACTAGACTGATCCGGTAATGTTAAGAGACTAAATAGATCAAGGATCTGTGATTTTTATGTGACAAGTTATAAATTTATTCGATTTACATGGAAATACGAGACACTTTAATTTTTTGGATTGGTTTATAAAGTTTATAATGCGTGACCATTGCTATATATGACAGGGACGTGCACATCAATCCATTTCGAAGCCATTCCGTGGAGCCCAACTAGCAAAAAAGAACTTTTGCACGTAAAATCCCTAATACACAAAAAAAAAACATTTCAGAAAAGACCCAGTCCCTCGTAGCCCCACTCTGCGTACGCCCGTGGTATACGGATTTGACTTTAAATCCAAAAAAAAAAAAAAACAGCTTTACTCGCTGTTATCTTAGAATATTCGGCAGATGTGCTTTTGGGGCAATTGAAAAAAAGACCAATGCCTAAAAGTGTGTGAAGAAAACAAGCCAAAATATTTTTTTTTTTCATGTCAGCATCCACTCAACCTAGACTGACGTTTTTGAAAATACCAATGCTTAATTATTATATTTTTTGCTGAAATATTCTAATAACCTTTATACAATTAAAATTTTAATTTTTATTATTATTTTTTTTTTTTCAAGACCTCTCTCTCAAAAAGTGTGGGTTTTAAAGAGTTCTCAGAGAAAATTGTGATTTTGTACAAAAACATGTTTAAAAAAAATATTCGTAAATCGGGGGCTGGAAATGTTCAGTAGATTATGAAAGTGGAACAGTTAAATGTTAGATATCATGGTTTTGAAAGTTTACTTTGCATTGTAACCTAAATAAAAGAGTCGAGATCCCCCTCTTCCACATTTTTAAAAAATTTTCGGATTAAGATTGAAAATTCGTACCTTTTCGGTATGTATTGTCTTTCATTCATAATAAAAAAAAACTGCAACTAGTAAAATGTAATATCTTCAGGAGATCTCATAAACCAGAGATTAAGGTCTCTCCGTTTAGATTCAATAGTGAATTTTCATCAAAAACATAATTTTATAGGCATATTTCAAGTTTTAAATACTCTTTTTCTGCAGCATTCAAATGTTTTATTATTAATCTCTAAATTTGTATTCTCCACACAGTGGAGGGTATAAGAAGTCGGACCTTTTTTTGTTTATAACCCACATAATGAAATAGGGATTATATCCAATAAAAATCAATGATATTCCCCAGAAAGAAGCGGACATAATCCACACAATAATAAGGATTTTATCGAAAACGATTGCGGACATTCTTCTTATATAAAAGACCTCAGAAGGTCTTCTTATAGAAGACCACAGAACGTCTTCTTATAGAATGCAACAGGATCTTCATAAATAAAACAAGGAGGTCTTCTCATAGAAGACCAGGAGGTCTTCTTCTCTTCCTTATAATAACTACAAGGTCTTCCTAAAGAAGACCACAAGGGCTGCCTCTAGAAGACCACAAGGTCTGCCTATAAAAGACCACAAGGTCTGCCTATAAAAGACCACAAGGTCTGCTTATAGAAGACCACAAGGTCTTCCTGTAGATGACCACAAGGTCTTCTTGTAGAAAATCAGAAGGTCACTCCCTGGGTAGGTATTTTTATCCTGAATGCGGCAAAGTAATGTTTTTGTGAAGGATATACCCAGTTGTTCAGTTATTCGACCCGAAAGTTCGAGTTACGAGCTTTATCCGATTCTACAAAACTGATTTGTGTTAAATGGGTATCATGGGTTGTGATATGATGGGGTTGTTAAACCGGTTCCGGAGCCATACAAGAATATTAGTATTTTTGTGCGGGAACTTTTTGAAAAACCCCGAAAAAGTCAAAAATGGACCCATTATGGGGTATTAAAATCTAGATAATACATTAAAGCCTACATTTTTGCCTTTTCAAAATGATACCAAGCATGCTGATATATTTTATAGTTCCGAAGATTGAGATTTTCTCCACTAATATTTACCTAACCTTTATAGCTCTTTAAATAGATGGCCTTCGGCCGGGGCTTTAGCTTTTCTCCTCTGGGGAACGTCCAACACCGGCTACGCGATCCATAGTTTTTCTAAATTTAATAACTTGTGTTAATTGCCGGAATTCGGCGGGGGTTTGAGATTTTCTCCTCTGAGATAAGTCCAACATCGAATACTTACTTTTGTAAGTAGCCGGCCTTCAATTTTTAAGTCAATATCTACGGAATTACAAGAGATATCAACCATTTTGGAATAGCAAGAGTGTAGGCTATAATGTAGATCGTAAAACCCAATAATGGGTTCATTTTCGGATATTTAAAATTACTTTGCCGTAATCAGGTTAAAAATTAAAACCTACTCACCTACCTAAGGCCAATCCGAGCATAATCCTTATAAATGCAGTGGTAATTATGTCCGGACATCTAAGAAGTCCAGTCTTGTGATAAATTATAATCCAGTTACTATTTTTACTTTATTTCAAAAAATCACCAAAATGTTTGATTCTGCTATTTTTATACCCTCTACCATTCTATGGAGGTTATATAAGTTTTGTCATTCCGTTTGTAACATGATAGACCCTACAAAGTGTATATATTCCGGATCAACGTAAAATTCTAAGACGATTTTGCGATGTCCGCCTGTCTGTTATAATCACGCTATCTTTCGAACGAATTGAGATAGAAGGCTAAAATTTAGCACACATGTGCATATTCCCTATAGGCAGGTTAAGTTCGTAAATGGCCCATATAACGGTACCTCCCGATATTCGGTATTTTGATGATTTTAGCGACATTATTCACCGGAATTGTTTCAAATTTCATATTGAAAGTTCGCATCGGGTAGTCTTCGTATAGCCCCCATATAACGGTACCTCCCTTTATTCGGATTTGATTTAATGATTTTAGCGATATTATTCGCCGGAATTGTTTCAAATTTAGTATTTGAAGGTCTTAATGAAAGAATTACTTATACAGGTCCGCGTCTTTCTACGGCTCCCGTATAAAGCTTATCCTTTAAACGGTATTTGTCAGAATTTGTTGAAATTTTTCAAGTTCCTTCCAAATTGTAGAATGTAGAGCTGCCGAACGTAGCTGCTTTTTTACTAGTTCAATATAAATTGTTTTGTTTGTTTCAAATAAAAATTTAAAATACAACAAATTATTAGCATTATTTTCGAAATTTATTTCCCTTAGAGATCTTTTGACTTATCACAAATACCTATAACTATATAACCTTCTTGGCTTCCGCTCGTGGTTCCAGCATAATATTAAAACCTTTTTCCATTTTCAAAATAATATCGCCCTGCATACGGAAATCTTTCTCCTGCTGATTACATTTCACAACGAAATTTCTCAAAATGGTCGAGAGTAAAACTTTCAATTTCAAAATGGCAAATTTACGACCCACACAACTACGTGGCCCAGCACTGAAGGGTATAAAACTGTAATAATGCCGCTTGGCCATACGTTCGGGCAGGAAGTTGTCAGGATCGAATTTTTCTGGATTAGGAAATGATTTGGGATCACGATGTACGGCATATTGTATGATTACAATTGTGGTGCCTTTGGGTATGGAATAGGGTCCGGAGGCCAATTTTATGTCATGTTCGGCACGACGTGCAATCAATGGTACTGGTGGATACAAACGCAGAGTTTCCATTATTACACGCTCTAAATACTTCATTTCCAGGGTATCGGCAAAGGTGCAATCACGCATGAGGTCATCACCAAAAATAGCTCGCTGTTCGGCCAATACCTTTTCTTGCATGTCCTGATAAATGCCCAATATGCAGAGGACAAAACTGGAGGCAGCCGATGTGGTATCATGGCCCTATATGAAATTAATTTTCAAATTATCTACATTATTTGAATTCTTGAATTTTTTCAGGATCCTTACCTCAAACATAATTGTATTGACTTCATCGATAATATCTTTTTCGGTCCATTCAATTTCAAGATTTCTAGACATTTCCATCATGGCATCCAATAAAGCCAACCTCTTTTTGGCACCTTAAATATCAATTATTTTTGGATTTCAATTCTAGATATTTAACTCTTCAAACTCATCCACATCATCCTCATCGATGTCATCCAAGTCATCACGCAATCCTTCGGCCCTCACATTTTCTCGTTTGCGCTTGGCAGCCTCAGCTTCATTTTCGAAAATTGCCCTCGAATCAGCACTGAAATTTTTCTGACGCTCCTCCACAACTTGCCGTGTCATATTCAAAATTGTATTCAACATTCTCCGGGCCTTGTCATGAAGTGATGAAAATCGAAATGTGGCATCCAGGCGATAATAGAATTTCAATTGACGTTTGTGGATAATATCGCACATATCCAACACAGCATTGGCATATTCCAAACATTTATTTGGTTCGGGCAGCTTTTTCACTCCCATTACCGTGGAGAGTAAAATCTCCACCGTCACCTGGGACATATATTTATGGGCATCGAATTCTTTGCCCGCTTCCAGGGCCATACGTTGTACCACACTCTTGGAATGTTTCACAAATGTTGGAATGAAACTTTTCAAAATACTCTGATGGAAGGTGGGCGCAATCATGCGACGATGATGTTGCCAATGATGTCCTTTGGAGATGAGTAGACCATCACCAAACCATGGCTTGAAATATTTATATTCATATGACTTTTCCAAATGGGTACTAGAACTCAGTACTATTTCTATGTCAATGGGGTTCCATAAACCCACCACGACTATGGGACCTAAAAAGGCACGAATCACTGCTCCCGGAGTGTGAATATATTTCTTCGCTTGGGCCATGATTTCTGAAATTATATTAAATATTTAAAATTATGCAAGCAATATTATTAAATTCTTATTCAATCTATAGTAATAAAAGAGTAAAGTAACTGTCTGACTTAACGATTAATGAACGATCAGACGAAACGGCTGATTTTTGATCCGAAGGTGTCAAAACGGTACTAGAACGGTACGAAAAGTACTTAAAGCTAGTAAATATGGTACCCTTTGTATTTGCCGAACCAGTAGATCTAGGGGTAAATTTGGAATTAAGGTCTCGGTGGATGTACCAAAGATGTTTTGAAAATTCGTTCTATAAGTGTACGAAAAGTATTTAAATGTACAATATTTGGTACCATTTCGTATCATGTGAACGGTTAGAAAAACTGGAAATTTTAAATGGGAATCAAGGTTGAGGAGTAGGTTCGATGTAAGGAGGTAGTTTCCGAAATTTTCTACTAATGTATGCAAAAAGTACTAAATGGTACTAAATTTGGTACAATCTAAATTTGAAAGAACGGATGAACCCTGAAATTTAAAATTAATTAAACTGGCGGAGTCTAGGATTGAGATATGGAGGAAGTTTTCGATATTTGCACTTCTGTGCACGAAAAATTAAAAATTGTACTAAATTTGGTATGGGTTAACCAATAGAACTGGAATCTGGAATTTTGGAAATATCATTAATATTGCATTGTAGGAGTGTGATATGTGAAGTTTTAGAAATTCGTACTTATGTGTACTAAATAGTACCAAATATGGTATAATGTGGCTGTGGGTAAACCGATAGAGCTGGAATCCTGAAATTGGGAAATAAGGTTTATATTGAATTGTATGATGCAGGTTGCCATGAAAATTTGTATCATTATGTACGAAATGGGTATAAATTTAGTAGAGATTGGAATTGTGGCGAACCGATAGATCTGGAATTCTGAAATTTGGAAATGTGATTACCATAGTTTTGGAAATTTGGAATGTATTGACATATTTATACCCTTCAACACTATGTGTTGGGGTTTTATAAGTTTGATTGGTCAAAAATTATGTAACACCTCGAAATGTTTGTCCCCGACATAGGAAACTATATGTGGATCTTCCTATCTCGCCGAGCTTATCGATCTAGCTATGTTTGTCCGTCCGTCTACCCATGTTAATTTGTAATCACGCTACAGGTCGCAATTACTGTCCGATCCTCACAAAATTGAAAATGGAAGTGGGGTCAGGGTGAGAATAGATACCTATTGTTTTAGGATATGATCGCAAAATATTTAGAGGTTGAAATGAGCCAAAAACCGAAAAAAAAGATTTTGCTGTTGCTCTACTGACCACAATTATAAACCAATTGACGGGAAATTTTGCATGGAGTTAGAGTTCAGGGCAGAAGCTAACCAATTTGGATGGTAATCGGACTATATTTAATCGCAAAATTCCATTCAGCAAATATTGAAAATAAGCTCGGGGTAAAGCCATTGAAATTTCAAAAAAGTTCAAGGACTTACACCGCAACAGAAAGAAAATAGACTCAAAAGAGCTAAAGAGTTGCTTCGCTTGGCCGAAAGTGGTAAACTGCCGAATTTGGTTTTTTCCGATGAGAAAACATTCGTTGTCCAGCCTTTTGTTAGCAAACACAACGATCGTGTATTAAAGCCTTGGGCACGCAAACATTTTGGCCGCAGACCTTGGACATTCCAACAGAACTCAGCACCATCGCACTCAGCACGCGCCACCCAATTACGGTCACAAAATGAGGTTCCTCGCTTCATTTCCAGCTCACAATGGCAACCAAAATCTTAGGATTCCAAACCGTTGGACTATTGTGTCTGGAGTATTTTGGAAAGTAAGGTTGGCGCTAAAAAATACCAAAGTGTCGATCACCTCAAGGAAGCTCTTCGCCGGGAATGAGCCACCGCACTCAGCACGCGCCACCCAAGAACGGTCACAAATTGAGGTTCCTCGCTTCATTTCCAGCTCACAATGGCCACCAAAATCTCAGGATAGCAAACCGTAGGACTATCGTGTCTGGAGTATTTTGGAAAGTAAGGTTGGCGCTAAAAAATACGAAAGTGTCGATCACCTCAAGGAAGCTCTTCGCCGGGAATGGGCCATCGCACTCAGCACGCGCCTCCCAAGAACGGTCACAAAATGAGGTTCCTCGCTTCATTTCCAGCTCACAATGGCCACCAAAATCTCAGGATACCAAACCGTTGGACTATCGTGTCTGGAGTATTTTGGAAAGTAAGGTTGGCGCTAAAAAAATACCAAAGTGTCGATCACATCAACGAAGGTCTTCGCCGGGAATGGGCCAAAATACCGCAGAGCAACCTTCGGGAGCGTATGATGGTTTCATTGGTTGTTAGAAGGCCATAATTCGTGCCAAAGGTAAATTCGAACAAATCTAAACTTATTCTAAAAGTTGCTGCTATTTCCGACATATTTTGCGTTCAATCCAATATTTAAAACTGGGTCATCAACGAACCTTCAGCCACCAGACGACAATTAACGAACCAAATAACTTCAACTGTATTAATCACTTGAGACAGACACTCGTTGCATAGTCTACCCTAATAAACAATTATATACTGCGCAAGCCCAATTTAATCATTTAACTTCAACCGCACGCGCACTAACACCAACAAACACCTAGACGCTATGTAATAATCAACTGTTAACGAATCTAATATTTTACTGCATTTGTTAAGCCAGATGCATCAAACCATCAGACGACAATAAATGGGTCTATAAAACAGTTCACAACTCTAAAACCCGTAAAAAATGGCAAATGCGACGAGGACTGTTATCATTCTCGATTCTTGGTATTGCCTATAAAACCATGGTAGCCTCGATTAAACACATATAAAGGATATACATAAATATACACAAATAACAATCGAAAAATCAGTCGAATACGTTAATCAAGTGGCAGACATTATCTGCTTAAAAACGGAGAATGTACATATATCCAAATCTGAACTCATTATCACCAGTAGATTCCCCTCTTGGGCCATTTAAAAGAGATTTTGACTACTCCATATCTATGATAACTAGAGTCCCGCAACTTACCAGCATTGGAAAGATACAAAGCTCTGTGGGCGTGACCAAGAATCGGTAGCCTTGGCGGTGTTGGCATTTTTGCCGTTAACTTATATTCACGTGTACTTCGAAGCCATATTTCAAATAGTATTGATATAATCGCCAAACCCATTAAGGCCGTCCACAGAGGATTTGAAGACGAAATTGTTGCTGATGACACACCAATGTCCGGAACATTCTTTGCATTTTCAAATATTACCGAATCCGCCGACATTGTTTTTCTATTATTTTTTATTTTTTGTTTTTTTGATAACTATGGATTTTTTTTTAAATTAATTCCTTATTTTCGAAATTGATTTCTTAATCCGTATGATCCCAAAAAAAGATTTAGAATTAACTTATTGCAATGTTCCTTCTCTACTGGTAGGTGTTCTAGAATATAATCTGGTTTTTTATAAAATTCCGATGGGGTGGCTTGATATATTTTTTCGTCTTCTTCGTTAATAAATGGGTACTAAATGTCTGCGAGATCCGAAAAGTAATCGAACAACAAGATCGACTTCATTTTACATAATATTTCAATGCCTTAACCATCTACCTGCAGACGCGAATTTATATTTCAGCCTGGAAGCTAATGAATAAATAGGCTATTTAACAAAACAGCAATAATTTTTATGGAAATTTAGTACTTGTGTACTAAAAAATTGGATGCATTATTGGATGTAAGGCAGGAGAGAGTCGTTTGTGTTATGGCCTACAGCAATATGTTTAAACATATTTGTAATTGAAAAGGGCTTCTGTCAAAAATGGATCAAAGCATCCTTAAAGTCGTTGAATGATATCAGACTAGCGGTTCTTTTTAAAAAGAAACTCCTGAAAACATTTTGACGTCACCCAAGATTTCTGGGCATAAATTCCCCAAAAAAAAAACAATTTTTTACTTTAGCCTCATCGAAATAACGGTTTTAGACTCTAAGTCTCTTTAGACCAAATCCTTCTGGTAGCTCTCCAATTAAACGTCAAAATGTTCACACAAAATAATTTACCTCATAGAACAAAAAAGAATCATCTGATTTTGTTCAAACTCTTCAAAAAAAATGAACAATATCAACCCACTCCATCAAGTACATACCCCACGTAGGCCCAACGTTTTGAATAATCCTAAGTCTTATAACATATGAAATTAGAGACCAATTGTCTTCAAATTTTGCATATCCCAATATTTGTACCAACAAAAAATCTGGTTTGTGGAACGAGTAGAACTGTCCACTTCTACCTACCCACATAAAACGCGAATCGAAAACCCGCTTTTTGGCGCAACCTAAACCAAGAACAGTGAGGTGATGGCATATATCGGTCCACTCCTTCTGCCACCCCCAGCAACAAATATTCACCTTTTTAATAATTACTAGGAAGTGCCTGCTACATTGTCAGCGAAAAGTTCACCTTAAAACTGTTCCAACAATTCGTGTTAAGAAACTTCATGCATTGTACCAACTTTTCAGACTATCGAAGTTTAATATATATTTAAGTCTCTCCTTTTTCGGAAAGAAGTCTTCAAAATCATTCTCTTTGATGTCTACCGATCAGAACATTAGTAAAACCAGTGCACAATGGATTCACATCCAATTGTTCTGTCCAAAACGTCTCTGTATATAAATCCTAGAAGCCAACAAAGGCATATTCTATTCCTTCATCCAATACCATATTTAGTACTATTGGTACAATTATAGTACACATTTCCAGAATCACCTCCATATCTCAACAGAGACCTCAATATCAAATTTGAGGATTCCAGCCATATCGCTTCTCCCGAAACTACTTGTGAACTTTTTAGTACATTTCGTACAATTATAGTACACATTTCTTAAACCATCACCATATCTCAATTCCATATACCAACAAACCCCTCAATATCAAATTTAGGATTCCAATTCTATCCTTTCACCCAATGCCCAATTTAGTACTTTTCGTACACTTTTCTGAAAACATAAACACATAAACAACGACCCTAACACCATACCAAATTTTAGCTTTGTCTGTTTCAATTTTAGAAGTTTAGTACCATTTTAGAACTTTTCGTAGCCTTAAATACCCTTTATTTGCATCTATCCTGCACTCTATCAGCGAATCTCATTCCAAATGTTTAGCTCATTGCGTTTGTCCAATACAAAGTATTAAATGTTTAATATACTTTAGTACGTTTCGTATGAGTTTCCATAACCTAAACACCAAGATGGACGTTCCTGTTGGACTTTCCAAATTCGACCTCTAATTCCTAACACAAACATGTAAAACACCACTTTTATTCACATTCTATATGTACCACTTAGTATATTTCGTACACTTATTGTACATATTTCCAGAAAAGCCAATTTCTTTACTAAATGTTAATATTCCATCTTTTTCCATTTATCCAAAACCAAATTGTACCAAATTTTGTACCATTTACTATAGTTCTTACACTTTATACACTTTTCCAAAACAAGCTTATATCAACCCTGCTTTTTATACCCTCAACTATACTATGGAGGGTATATTAATTTTGTCATTCCGTTTGTAACTCCTCGAAATACTCATGCCAGACCCAACAAAGTATATATATTCTTGATCAGCGTAAAATTCTAATTTAGCCATGTCCATCTGTATGTCTGTCTGTCCGTCTGTCTGTCTGTTGTAATCACGCTATCTTTCGAACAAATTGAGGTAGAAGGCTAAAATTTTGCACACATGTATATTTTGCCAGTAGAAAGGTTAAGTTCGTAAATGGGCCTTGTAGGTCTAAGTTATCATATAGCCCCGATATAACGGTACCTCCCGATATTCGGTATTTTGATGATTTTAGCAACATTATTCATTGGAATTGTTTCAAATTTGGCATTTGAAGTTCGTAATGGAGAAAATTATCTGTGCAGGTCCACGACTTCGTATATCCCCCATATACCGTACCCCCCGATATTCGGTATTTTGATGATTTTAGCGACATTATTTACCGGGATTGTTTCAAATTTCGTATGTGAAGTTCGTAATGGATACTTCAGCCCATGCCAGAAAATTGTCTGTGCAGGTCCACGCCTTCGTATAGCCCCCATATAACGGTACCCCCTATTTGCTGATTTTAGGTACATTATAAACAGATTTTTCTTTAAGTTTCGCATTTGAATATTGTAATAACTTATGACAAAAGTTGCCTATGCAGGTCCACGTCGTCGTATAGTCATTCGGTATTTTTAATATTTTAACAGAATTTTTAACGCATTTTTTTTTTTTTTTTTTTTTTTGATATTGCCAAATTTGTACCAAACGGTGGAGGGTGTTAAAAGTTCGCCCGGCCAAACTTACAGCTTTTTTACTTGTATTATTTTGTATTATTTTTCTTTACTTGTAGTATTTTTCGAACTTTTTAGTACATATTTCAAAAAACCAAATCTTAAACCTTACACACTAACCGTGACCTCAATATCTACATTTCAGTTTCAAATTCTTTCACGCAATTCCACGATGTACCAAACTTAGTACTTAGTGGTAGTTCTTATTCTTAGTACAAATTTTCAAAACTAACTCCTTATATTAATCCTAGTTTCCCTACTTAATTCTTGTACCAAATTTCTACATTTTAGCTCTATAGGTTCACATGATACCGAATGATAAAAAATATAGTATTTTTTTAAGTTCAAATTAAAAAAACCTTTGGTGCATCTATCCCACACTCCATTAGCGACCTTCAAAAAATTTTTAAGAATTCTACCTCTATTCGTTTGAGCAATGCAATGATTGTAATTTTTAGCACTTTTTAGTACACTAACGAAATAAATTGTTTCCCATGTTAAAGAAGGTACAAGAAAACCTAAAACAATACTTTCAGTTTTCACACTTTGATAAAAAAAATATCTGAATACGACATATATTTGCAAAATTTTAACGCTTTATGGGAGGACTGGTCGGAAATGATCCACTTCATCCATTTAAAACAGAATTTGTACTAAATCGACCGAATAACGGCCTTTTTTATCTGGACTATTGTTTTTGAAATGTTTACCATTTTCGCCACATACGCTCACTGTACATCCAATTGAAAACAACAACATTGATTTCGGATGCTGTATATCAATAACTTGTTCCAATTTTTATTGAATAATTAAAAAAAAAGAAATTTGTTTAGAAAACAAATAAAACTGATTCTATTATTCAAAATTGTGCTGACTAATCGCTAGAGTCTTTAACACAATAAAATTAATAATTCCGTCCGGCACGTTTTGGGATAACCCCACCAAAATAATGCAACATGATTTGGTAGACTTTAGACAATATAAGAATTTCTATATTTTGCAGAGGCAAATATGAAATGATTTGTTTTTCAATATCGTCGATGCTGAAATTAGATTTTTAGGGTATTTGAATGGTCGCTAGAGCTCATAATATACTTATATATAAAATATATATTCTATTAATGCAAGTTTTAGTACTAAATTATTACAGAATATATCACACTCGGTAAAATGCATACAAATATTTGAAAAAAATTCATAATGATATATATTGGATAAGTAGAATTTTGTAGATATCCGAATAAGGATTCTGGATACCAGCGACCTAGAGATTATACTTTGATGTATACCCTTAACCAATGTCCGTTTCTTTAAATATATTTTGACTTGTGTTATAATTATTCAAACTGATGACCCTCTATGGGGGAAGTTCCAAGAGAGTGGGCCAATATTGTCAATTTCGGATCTGACCTAAGCAGATATAAATACTACAATGTACCAGATTTGGACTGTATCGACTACTTCTTCAATATAATACACGTGATAACTTTTATAAAATTTTGATATATGCGTGAGGTTCCGGATATAGTGGCCTAATGTATTAATTTTCTCTAATACTGATTACAATATTTGGATGTGCAAATTTTAAAGAAGATTGAATAATTATTCCAATTTTATGCGAATATTTGTAAATCAAAATTTTAAACTTTTGTCGGAAGAACAGAAGGAGTGGCCGATATATTTCATATTCACGCTAGATCTCTGGCTGAGAAAAATAGGAGAAATAATATAAATTAATATTAATATTGGAGGAGGCACTAGAAGTGCGGCAAATCGGCCCACATTCATAAGTAAAAATATTGAATTATTTGAAGTTTGATGAGAATCGGTGGCTTATTTCGCATTTTATATTTCAATTCTGACCACATTGTGGTGAGATATTAGAAGGAGGTCCGATAACAGAAATATGGAGATGTGTGAAATTTGAAGAGAATGTGAAGAATGATCGGATCCTTATTTCAAATTGTATGAGCGTTTCGGTAATTGTTAACCCTTTTTCCGAGGAAGGTACCGGAGGGGGTGAACCGATATATCCCAAATCAGATCTTGTGTTAATGTAAATGTTGAACGTTATGAAATTTGATGAGAATCGGACGATGACTGCACTTTATGAGCACTTTGTTATTCCAAATGTTAACCCCTTTGTGGGGGAGGTACCTGAAGGAGTGGTCCGATATCTGCCATCTTTACAATAGATCTAGAGTTTGTAGAAATATTGGGATGTACCGAGTTTTAAAAGTATCAAATGTTAATTTCGTGTTTTACGAGCTTCATTCTCACGCCAGATCTAGTGTAAATAAAAATATTGGGATGTGTTAAATTTGAAGGCAACCGAACTCTTATTTCACATTTTATAAGAGTTATAATTATTCCAAATTTTGATCATTTGTGGGTGAGGTACTTAATGGAGTGGGCCGATATTGTGCATTTTCGGGTCAAATCGAATACTCCCTTCGAGAGTTATCGTGCGCTCCAGCCAGACAGACGGACGGACGGACACCCTAAGGTCGACTCCAAATGTTCTGAAACGGATTTGGTTCAAAGAGACCTAGAGTCTAAAATCTTTATTTTAATGAGGCACCGTTTGGCCGTATCAAATGATATATACCCTCTGTGATATCATTATAGAGCAAACTGAAGAAGTTTGACGGTGAAACAAAACACGAAACAACTCTAGTTTTGTAAAAATTCTTGGATAGAGGTAGGTATTTGTACCCTTATTCAGGAAACGTTTTTTTTTTTTTTTTTTTTTGATAGACCTCGATATCGCAATATTTGACCCGAGAGTGTGGATCCAAGATCTGGGTTAGGCCCGGACCTACTAGAAATCATATGGTGGAGTTATTAAAAAGGATATCTAAGTTATAGATTTTTTTGACCCGAATTTTTTATATAATCCTAAAAGGTCGAATAAGTGCCCGTTGTGAGCATAAAAAATATAATTATAGCTTACACTCCTACCTCCTACCATATGCGATTTTATCTTTTCTGAATCCAGAGAAATGGGTCTTTGAACCATGGCAACCCGATCAGTACAACGAACCAAGGTTATTCTTGATACGTAGTATGCCTTTTTCTCCTCTAGGAATGTCCAACACCGGCTGTGCGAAGTAGTTTTTAATACTGAAAACATAATATCAATATACTGAAATGCCCGTGAAGATAAATTTTAAAATATAAATGCAATGTGTTGGTGCGCAAGGGGTTAATTGAAAAATAGTTTTTTTTTTAATATTAATGATTTTTACTATTTTTTTTTTTTTTTTGGATAAATCAACGTATTTATACCCTACAACACTATGTGTTGGGGGTATTATAAGTTTGATTGGGCCAAAAATTATGTAACACCTCGAAATATTGGTTTCCCATATAGGAAAGTATATATGGATCTTCCTAGCTCGCCGAGCTGAGTCGATCTAGCTATGTATGTCCGTCCGTCCGTCTGTCCGTCTGTCCGTCTGTCCATGTTAAATTGTAATCACTCTACAGGTCGCAATTATGGCCCGATCTTCACGAAATTTAGAATGCAGGTGGGGCTAGGGTCAGAATAGAACCCTATTTCTTTTGGAGATGATCGCCAAATGTTTAGGGGTTGAAATGGACCAAATACTGAAAAAATGTCGGATTTTGCAGTAGCTATACAGGTCGCAATTATAGACCAACCGACACGGAATTTCGCATGTAGCTAGAATTTAGGGCGGGGAAGAAGCCTACCAATTTGGTTGGTCATCGGATAATATTTAGCGGGTAAAATAGACCATATCTTTTGTGTTGAAAAAATTCAACGTTTTTCCTTAAATCGCGAATATTTTAAATCCCGGCGAAATCACAAAGCCATGACAAGGTTACTTCTGATCTTTACATTGATGTTAAGATCCAACAAATCGAATGTATAGCAAAATATGTGCGATATATATATATATATCAAAGAAGATATGCTTGAAAAATCTCTTATATGTCGAGAACGGCTGAACTGATTTCGACAGTTCTCATTAATTCAGAATGGCCTTTTGGCAGGAAAGAAAAAACGTCTAAAAAAATCGCATAAAAATATCTCTCTAAAGATGAAAATATTGATTTTTTAAAATTTTCTCATATTTTTTCAATTTTGTCATATTTTTGGCATATTTTCATTTTGAATTAAACATTTGGTAATATTTCTACAGCTAACAAAACTAAGTAGTTAGGATATCAGGATATCACATACAGATCGCATTTATGGCCCGATCCTTACGAAATTTTGCATGGGGATAAGATGAGGGTCAGAATATAAGCCTACTCTTTTTGGAGATGATCGCCATATATTTAGGGGTTGAAATGGACCAAAAAACTGCAAAATTGTCAGCAGGTCGTAATTATCGCCCGATCCTCACGCACATTTGAATGGGGGTTACCGGACATTGCAAAAGCCAAGCAGTTTTGGATGGCCATCCAAAAATATTCAATGTACGAAATAGTTTGCCAACTTTTGTAGACAAAATACGAAAATATCCATTCCAGCGACTTTTTGGAGAATTCACAAGTACAGGAAAGACGCACTTCTGACTATTTCGTTAAGGCTGATTTGAATATAGTCAAATGTCTGTATCTCATATAGATGCGTTTCAGTCAAAATCAATAATAAATGTTAATCTTTTGCCACTTCTGAGAGATTATAGGTCTTTGGGAAATATTGGTTCCAGATCTTGGAAGACCATTTACCAATAAATTGGGAATGAGAAAATTAGTTTAAGTTGCTATTATTCGAAAATAAGAGAACGAAACCTGATGGTTTTCTTTTATTATCTGTCACAATATCTTGTGGAATTCTTTCGACTATCTCGCCTATATAAACTGTATCATTTATTATAGTGTTGTAGGGTATTCAACGGTCGGCCCCGCTCGACTGTAGCCTTTGCTTACTTGTTTTAAATTAATTTAAATTAAATTAATTAATTAAATTAATTTAACAGGAAAATGACACAATTTCCCGACGAGGACGAATAACCAGAGTGGAGTTGGCGGCAGGGAAACTGCATGGAAAATGCTGAATTGCACAAAAACTATGCTAGCTGCGTCATTGAGGCGGGTCTTAAATGAAAGGTCTCGAGGAGTACTTTCTGGCTATATATGCCTTATATTCCCAACTGATTTCAGATAATCGAATTTTTTCGATTTTCTAACCAAAGTGGCGGTTTCGGTAGGGAAACTGCATGGAAAATGCTGAATTCCCTACCGTTTGTAATACCTCGAAATATACATTATACAGTATATATCTTGATCAGCATAAAATTCTATGTCGATTTATCAATGTCCGTCCGTCTGTCCGTCTGTCTGTCTGTGAAAATCACTCTAGCTTCCGAATGAAATGAAGTAGATTGATAAAATTTTACTCAAATGTGTATTATGTCTGCAGCACTTTTGGTATTGAAAATGGGCCATGTAGGTCCACGTCTTAGCCCTCATATAACGGTACCCCCCGATATTCAGTATTTTGATGATTTTAGCTACATTATTTACCGGAATTGTTTCAAATTTTGTATTTGAAGTTCGTAATAGATACTACAGCATAAAACAGAAAATGGGCCATGCAGGTCCACTTCTTCGTATAGCCCCCCGATATTCCGTATTCTGATGATTTTAGCGACATTATTTACCGGAATGGTTTCAAATTTGGTGTTTGAAGTTCGTAATAGATACTACAGCATAAAACAGAAAATAAGCCACGTAGGTCCACTTCTTTGTATAGCCCCATATAACGGTACCTCCCGATATTCGGTATTCTGATGATTTTAGCGATATTTTTACCGGAATTGTTTCAAATTTCGCATTTGAAGTTCGTAATGGATACCACAGCCTATGACAAAAAATTGTCTGTGCAGGTCCACGATTTACAACTCCCATGATTCCTCCCTATATTCTGAATTTTGATGATTTTAGCTACATTATAAACAGATTTTTTTCAAGTTTCGCATTTGAATATTGTAATAGCTTGTGACAAAAGTTGCCTATGCAGGTCCACGTCGTCGTACAGACCCTAATATACGTCTACATTCGTTATTTTTAAGATTTTAACAGAATTTTTAACGGATTTTTTTTTTTTTTTTTTTTTTTGAAAATTGCCAAATTTGTACCAAATGGTGGAGGGTATTCAAAGTTCGGCGCGGCCGAACTTACAGCTTTTTTACTTGTTTCTTCTGAACTATTTTGTTTGATTTGAGTTATACCCTCGGACATTTTTTTCAACCTTTCGAAAGTACAACAACCCACAATTACAGTTTTAAACTGGCATGCTCTTTATTATTTTTTTTCAAGATTTTTGTGTTTTCTTCAAAAACAATAAAATTTATAAAAAAAAAAAAATCTTAACATACATTTTAGTCAATAACAATAGGATAAAACTTAACACTCTCACGTTGGTTAGTAGTTTCGTTATTTCTTATTATTTGGTATAATGCGGGGGGTTAGTTTCTTTTTTCTTTTACTTATCAATAAAATGGAAACCACATACACAGATACGGGTCGTTCTTAGGATAGTTGGGACAAAAAAACTTCTTCACACACTCATCTCTACTTTACTTTACATAGCTTTCATGGCTTCGGGTCGTCGGTTCAACATGATGTTGAAACCATTTTCAATCTTTAGGATAATATCGGCCTGCAACTTAAAGTCCTTCTCCTGTTGGTTGCTCTGCACTGAATAGTTACGAATAATGGTCGAGAGCAGGACCTTCAATTTCAGCATGGCATATTTGCGACCGACACAACTTCTGGGGCCGGCACTGAAGGGAATGAAACTGTAGTAATGACGATTGGCCATACGTTCGGGTAGGAAATTGTCAGGATCGAATTTCTCGGGATTGGGGAAGTATTGGGGATTGCGATGCACGGCAAATTGGGCAATCACCACGGTTGTGCCCTTGGGAATTGTGTAGGGGCCGGAAGCCAATTTTACATCGAACTCAGCACGACGGGCAATAAGGGGTACTGGTGGATACAAACGCAAAGTTTCCATAATCACACGTTCCAAATATTTCATTTCCATGGTATCGGCAAAGGTACAGTCGCGCAGGAAGTTGTCACCAAAGATGGCCTTTTGTTCGGCCAAGACCTTCTCTTGGATATCCTTGTAGATGCCCAACATGCAGAGGACAAAACTGGAACCAGCTGAGGTGGTATCATGGCCCTCAAACATAATGGTGTTGACTTCATCCATGACATCCTTGTCGGTCCACTCAACATCGGGGTTCTTGGACATGGCCATCATGGCATCTAGCAGAGCCAAACGTTTCTTGGCACCTAAAAATAGCAAAAAACATTATTTGCTTTCCACGGCAGGTTTTTGTGCCACCTCTGTACTTACCCACATCATTTTCATCAATGTCATCCAAATCATCACGCAAACCCTCCTTCTTCTTGGCCTGTTGCTTCTGCTTGCTTATTTCATCATCCTCCTCGACAATGGCACGCGATTCGGCATTGAAATTCTGTTGACGTTCCGTCACCACTTTACGGGTCATACCCAAAATAATGTCCATCATCTTCTTGCCCTTCTCGCTCATGCTGCTCAAATTGTAGAGGGCATCCATGCGATAGAAGAATTTCAATTGACGCTTGTGGATGATGTCACACATATCCACCACAGCCTTGGCATATTCCAAACTCTTGTTGTCCTCGGGCACCTTCTTAACACCCATGGCAGTGGAGAGCAAAATTTCCACAGTGGTCTGTGACATATAGTCATGGACATCGAATTCCTTGCCCAATTCCTTGGCCATACGTTCCACCACCTTCTTGGAATGCTGTACAAAGGCTGGCACGAAACTCTTCAAAATGCTTTGATGGAATGTTGGAGCAATCATTTTGCGATGATGTTGCCAATGGTGACCATTCGAAATGAGTAGACCATCACCGAACCAGGGTTTGAAGAAACGATATTCAATTGACTTCTCCAAATGGGTGTGGGTACTGAGAATCAATTCAATATCAGGAGCGTTCCAGAGGAATACAACCAACATGGGACCCAAAAAGCCACGCATAGCACCACCATAGGTTTGCATATAGCCAATGCCACGGGCAAGGATTTCTGAAAGGAGGGGATAAAAATGGAAAATGAGAATCGAAACGTTTCAAAGTAGATCCATCCATTTAACAGTAGATGGCTAAGTATGTCATATAATCTAGAATAGATGTCCCATTTCATCATCTACTATACAGTAGATGACCATATTATTCATCTATTCTACAGTAGATGCCCATATTGTTCATCTATTCTACAGTAGATGCCCATATTGTTCATCTACTCTACAGTAGATGACCATATTGGTCATCTACTCTACCGTAGATGACCATATTGTTCATCTACTCTACAGTAGATGACCCTATAGTTCATCTACTCTACAGTAGATGACCCTATAGTTCATCTACTCTACAGTAGATGACCCTATAGTTCACCTACTCTACAGTATATGACCATATTGTTCATCTACTCTACAGTAGATGACCATATTGTTCATCTACTCTACCGTAGATGACCATATTGTTCATCTACTCTACCGTAGATGACCATATTGTTCATCTACTCTACCGTAGATGACCGTATTGTTCATCTACTCAACCGTAGATGACCGTATTGTTCATCTACTATACCGTAGATGACCGTATTGTTCATCTACTCTACAGTAGATGACCATATGGTTCATCTACTCTACATTAGATGATCATATTGTTCATCTACTCTACAGTAGATGATCATATTGTTCATCTACTCTACAGTAGATGATCATATTGCTCATCTACTCTACAGTAGATGACCATATGGTTCATCTACTCTACAGTAGATGACCATATGGTTCATCTACTCTACAGTAGATGACCATATGGTTCATCTACTCTACAGTAGATGACCATATGGTTCATCTACTCTACAGTAGATGACCATATGGTTCATCTGCTCTACAGTAGATGACCATATGGTTCATCTACTCTACAGTAGATGACCATATGGTTCAGATCTACTCTACAGTAGATGACCATATTGCTCATCTACTCTACAGTACTCTACCATATTGTTCATCTACTCTACAGTTCATTTACCCTACAGTAGATGACCATATTGTTCATCTACTCTACAGTAGATGACCATATTTTTCATCTACGCTACAGTAGATGATCATATTGTTCATCTACTCTACAGTAAATGATCATATTGTTCATCTACTCTACCGTAGATGATCATATTGTTCATCTACTCTACCGTAGATGACCATATTGTTCATCTACTCTACTGTGGATGACCATATTGTTCATCTACTCTACAGTTGATGACCATATTGTTTATCTACTCTACAGTAGATGACCATATTGTTCATCTACTCTGCAGTAGATGGCCATATTGTTCATCTACTCTACAGTACATGACCATATTGTTTATCTACTCCACAGAAGATTACCAAAATTGTTCATCTATTCTATTCTTGATGACCAAATTGTTCATCTACTCCACAGTAGAAGATCAAATCTTGTATCCTTTTTTAAATGACATACTTCGTCCTCTATCTCAAAATCCAAAACCTACCGGCATTTGTCAAATGGGCCACCAAATGGCCATTTCCGATGAGTGGCAGCATAGGTGGGTTTGGCATATTTGCCGTTAATTTATATTTCCTGGTATTCCTTAGCCATATTTCGTACAAACTCACAACCACTGCAATACCCAAAAGAGCAGTCCAAATTGGGTTCAATACGGTTGCGGGTCCCGCAGTTGAATTGTTTGCACTATCCATTGTTTCCAGCACCAATGTATCCGCTGTCATTTTTATTCTATTATTTTTTTTCTTTAATTTTATTTATAATTCTTTTCGATTTGATTTGCTTTGTTTAAATTTTTTGTTTTTCACCGAACGGATCCTCTCAATCGCGTGAACAGCTTATCCGAAGGTGAATTCCTAACTGTTGTTTTATGCCTAATATGTTTGGATATTTATAATATCCGATAAGTGATCGATCGATCGGTTAGTCAATCGTCTGCCCGTCAAAGTATGGCAGAGCCATACGTTAATTAAATTCTCAAAGTACAGAGTTTACAGAATTTTACATTGCATTTGCATACAAATTAAATTGTATTGCAATGTTGCGTTAATTATACACTTTGTTTTTGTTTTGGATTTTAAATTTTTATTATTTATTTTGGAAAATTTAATTCGTACGCATTGGGTTTGTCAAACCACTTTATCGTAAACAGATTCGGGTGAGACAGTGTTGCCACTTGAGGTTGAAATTTTCTACCAAAATGGAAGATATTTTCAAAACCAAAATCAAGATTCATAACTGCCAATACAACAATAAATCGAAAATGAGAAAATAATGTTGATTTCCATTGACTTGGTTTGTAATATATAAAAATGCCATTTTGGGACTTAAAGACATTTTCTGAAAATTGAAAAAAATGAACATCCTCGAAATAGAAATTACAGAAAAAAAACAGAAATAAAAATCACGACCTTCCCAGGCAGAACAACTTTTAAAAATGTTCTTTAGAATTTTTCCCTTTTATCTTCCGACCATTTATTCATCATTCTCTTGAAAGTGGCAACTCTCTTTAGAGTCGCCTTCTTGCACTAATTATATTCTTTAATTAATTTATTAAAATCGTGATTGGTATGTATGTGTACGATACAAAATCAAGACTAATGTCTTTTGTTGTTTATTCTTTAGATCAACAATGGAATATTTTGTTTTCAAAATGCAAAAACAATTATTCACTTCATACATGATTGTGTCATTCTATGCGAAAGACTTCGAACGCAGCTAAGTAGGACATGTCCTCGTGGAATGAAAAAAAAAGTATTTTTAATTTAGAAAAATATTAGAAAAACTCGGACAGCAAATCCAACCCTTCAATGGGAAATACCACATAAATGTGTGCTACAAATATTCATGTGTGTAAAACTACAAAAATGTAGTAAATAATTAATGAATAATAAAATAATAAATAAAATATTCAAGACTTAAGCAATCGAAAAAAAAAAACAAACAAAATACCACAAATTTTTCCAAATTTCGAAAATGTGGCTTCAAGAATTTGTGCCTGATATTCAATTTTCGTTTTTACAAAATTTTTATCGTGTATCGAAGATATATTATAATAATTTATTTCCCCATCTATATCCTAGATAAAATGTGAACAAAAACAATGAGGTCTTTAAAGTTTTCAGGAAATCAGAAAAAAATTCAAATCGTATGAATCTATTTTTATTCAAAATGTTGACATTTTATGGGGAACTTCATTGTTTTACTACTAGAAAATGTGGTCAAGAACCTCAAGGTTTTTACCCCCTTAAAAACAAAACAATTGAAAATTTTGACCAAGATCTCGGAAATAACTGAAATCAGGGAATACTTTTATATGAGGGTCATATCAAAATGTGGATCTACATTGATAATTTTTTGCATGGGCGGTCTTTTTTCATACTAGGAATGAAAATTATTAAATTTGTCGAAATCGATATGAAATATATAGCTAAAATGAAAAAAAATACTTCAAATCGCTATACCCTTTAATGCGGACCATACTAAAACATGGACAGCCATTACTCATATTGAAATGATTCTACATGTAATCCATAGACTTGTATCAAATATAAAAGCTCTATCTTAAATGTTGCGATGTATAGAGCAAATTATTTGAGGCCCTTGTAGGCGTATGGTTAAGGCTTTATATAATGGCCGCTCAAAAAAGTTTGGCCTGGGAACCCAAACCCTTTGGAATTGGAAAGGAGGGTATATTAAATTTGTCATTTTGCTTGTAACACCTTTAAAGATTCGTCATAGATCCCATAAAGTATATATACAGGCTGAAATAAACAGAAATTTTAAAACGTCAACACCATAATTTTTATTTATTTATTTTTTTTTTAAATTTTATTGAATGAAAATGAAAAATGTCGGAAATAGCATCAATTTTTTCAAAAAGTTTAGATTTGTTCGAATTTATCACCTTTGGCACGAATTATGGCCTTCAAATGACGAATGAAACTGTCACACTCTGCCCGAATGTTGCTCTGCGGTATTTTGGCGCATTCCCGACGAAGCGCTTGCTTGAGGTGATCGACACGTTGGTATTTTTTGCTGCCAACCTTGCTTTCCAAAATACTCCAGACAGAATAGTCCAACGGATTGGTATACGGAGATTTTGGTGGCCATTGTGCACTGGAAATGAAGCGAGGAACCTCATTTTGTAACCATTCTTGGGTGGCGCGTGCTGAGTGCTATCATTTTGTTTGTTGAAAAATTGCTGGACAACGAATGCTTTCTCATCGGAGAAAACCAAATTCGGCAGTTCACGAATTTCGGCCAAGCGAAGCAACTCTTTAGCTCTTTTGAGTCTATATTTATACCCTACATCACAAGGTGGTCAGGGTATTATGTCTTTGTACATTTGTTTGTAACAGGCAAAAGGAAACGAGATAGACCCATAGTTCCTTTTGATGATCTGCATAGAATCACATTCTGAGTCTATTTATATATGTCTGTCCGTTCGTCTGTCCATGTATTTTTGTGAACAAAGTACAGTTCGCATTTATTGCCCGATCCAGATGAAATTTTGCACAAATCATTTGTTTGGCCCAAGGACGAACCCTATTGAAATTGGAGATAATCGGTAAAAATGTAGATATAGCTCCCATATATATCTTCGTCCGATTTGCCTTTTATTGTGCACCAAACGTGTAATATCAGCCCGAATAGTATGGAATTTTGCACATACAACCAAATTAGGCCTGAATATAAATATGCCAAATTTGATCGAAATCGGTTCAGGTATAGCTATAGCTCTGTAACAATATTTGGGGAAATATATTAAATACAGCTCAGAAATACCTTTGCTAAATTTTATCGAGATCGGTTCGAATTTGGATATATCTTCCATATATAACTTCGTTGAATTTACCTTTTATTGTGCACAAAACGTCTAGTATTGGCCCAAATGAGATGAAATTTGGCACTTACGACGAAATTGAAGGTAGTATGTCAAATTTGGCGAAGATCGGTTCAGATATAGCTATAGCTTCCATATATATTGTTCATCCGATTTGTTATATTTGTTACCCACAGCCGTAATATGCACCCCGTAACAGCGATATTCAGGGAAATATATGAAAACAGCTCAGAAATATCTTTGCCTATTTTATCAAGATCGGATCAGATTTGGATATAGCTCCCATATATATCAAATGGACAATTTTCTATCATAGGATATATTACCCATTAGGAACTTCAAATTTCAAATTTAAAAAATTTCCGGTAAACACCGTGACATAAATCGTCAAACTAGAGCGATTTCCGGACAGACTGATGGACATTGCTATAGAATTTTACGCTGATCAAGAATATATACACTTTGTTGGGTCTGACATGAGTATTTGGAGGAGTTAAAAACGGAATGACAAAGTTTATACATCCTCCATTGTATTGCGGAGGGTTTAAAAATAGCCTCGTCGGAGGTGACCTGATCCCAAAGTGTCCTACCAAGATAAAGTCTCTGGTCCTGGATTTTTAAATAAAAACCATTGTGTTTAGAAATTGTCACTCCCAAATCTAAAATCTTAGAGGTACACAAAACAAGTTGTCTTGAAAAACAAGTGTAAGCTGTGAGCAAAAAACACATCGCAATAAAAATCAAAGTCGATTGATATGTTCGGACAATCAATTGACAGGTATATTTCACTACACGATAATGATGTATGTAAATGTATTATAAAACGTCAATGTTCATCGTGCAATCCTGAGTCGTTTCTGGTAGGTCGGAGACAAATACCCACAAAATTTGAAGTAATTTTAAGCAATTAAAAACATTTTGTGTTAATATTTTTCAATAACGTCATCATCAAGGCCATTGCTTTGTAATTCGAAGACAATTTTTCTGTCAGCTCAAAAGTATTCTTATTATGTTCGTAAAACTGTGAAGCTTTCTTCCAAAATATATTAGAATTCAAATGGTGAACGTAGGTCATTGATGAAAAACATAATATTTAAATATATTCCGGCCTCACGCCCCAGTGTTAATGATTTCAACAGAGTATTCTATGTTGTTTGAAGTTCAATTGGACATTCGTTAGAAAATTATGCGCGAGTATTTTATTTTGCTGTCTCATTATTCGAATTTGATATTTTTCCTGGCTACCTTAAATTGAATTTCTTTGTTTCTCTCTTTTTGTATTTTTTTTTTTTTGGTTTATTTTGTTTCACATTCATTTAAAATGAACTTTAGAACTCATCGTTCATTGGTCTATAATTTTATGCGCCCGGTGATGCCTTTTAATTTTGGTTTTATTTTGAAAAAACACTTGTTGAACGGAAGTCTTCCACGGAGCATTTGTTTAGAACAGGCGTTCGTTCATCTCATTTCCTTTCATTATTTTCACTTTCAATAGAACCTTTACAACAAAAGGTAAAAAGAAAATTGACAGGATCTTAAAGATCATAAAATAACCCAAATAAAAAGTTGGATCCACTACCCTACTTTTGAAAACAACCGGAAGTCGGTATTTAATTGCGCGTGCCAGTCTAAACGCTTCATTTCAATGGCCTGCCAGACAAAGTGACAATGGCCTCCTTAGATGCTTGCGTCTACTGAGGTTCGTGTTTATGTAATTGAAATTGAAAGTACTTATAATATGTCGTTCTTAATTGAGATCCCATTGTCAAGCATAAAATAATTTGTATATCCTCAGCCATATAGCTAAAGAGGGTATACATCATTTGATGCGGCCAAAACATGTCTCAT